AATTGCTAAGAAGATGTTAGCAAAGGTAGAAAATTCAATTCACAGGTTATATAACTGCTACAAGGAAATGATGCCTCCACCAACAAATGAGATGTCTCAACTTGCTTTGAGAAGTCGTTCATGGGAAATTCAACAACTTCTGAAATCAAGGGTCAAGGAAAAGTGGTTCTGAAGATGACCTCGGGAAAGGAGCTGACTCTCAACAACGTGCTTTATGTACCGAAAATTCGCAAGAATTTAGTGTCCGAGTCGCTTTTGAATAAGCATGGTTTCCGCATTGTTTTTGAGTCAGACAAAGTCATTCTGTCAAAATGTGGAATGTTTGTCGGAAAAGGTTATGTTTCCGACGGTATGTTTAAACTCAATGTAATGGTTGTGAAACCAAAAATGAATAAAGTAAGTTCTTCTGCTTATTTGCTTGAATCTTCCAATTTGTGACATGGTAGACTAGGACACGTTAACTATGATACTTTACGAAGACTAGTTAACTCTAACTTCATACCTAAGTTCAATAACGATTCCAAAGATAAGTGTGAAACTTGTGTTGAAACAAAATTGACAAGGTCATCGTTTAAATCAATTGAACGGAACATAGAACCACTAGATTTAGTTCACAGTGACGTGTGTGATCTAAAATTTGTACAAACAAGAGGTGGTAACAAATATTTTATTACTTTTGTCGACGATAGCACAAAATATTGCTATGTATATCTGCTTGAAAGCAAGGATGAAGCTATAGAGAAATTTATTCTCTATAAGAATGAAGTTGAGAATCAACTTAATAAGAAAATTAAGGTGCTGCGAAGTGATCGAGGTGGTGAGTATGAAGCACCATTCGCTGAATTCTGTGTACAACACGGAATCATACATGAAACCACCGCCCCTTATTCACCGCAACAAAATGGTGTTGCTGAACGGAAAAATTGTACCTTAAAAGAGATGATGAATGCAATGCTCGTAAATTCTGGGTTACCTCAGAACATGTGGGGGGAAGCTGTCTTATCAGCAAATTACCTTTTAAATAAGGTGCCTCGAAAGAAATCGGAAAAGACCCCTTATGAGTTATGGAAAGGAAGAATGTCTACCTATAAACACTTGCGAGTGTGGGGGTGTCTTGCTAAAGTGGTTGTTCCACCACCAAAGAAGGTAAGGATAGGCCCGAAAATTATAGACTGTGTCTTCATTGGCTATGCACATAATAACAGTGCGTATCGCTTTCTTGTGTATGATTCAAAAATTCCAGACATACACAAAAACACGATAATGGAATCAAGGAATGCTATATTCTTTGAAGAAGTATTTCCATACAGATCCAAAGAGAAAGCAAGCTCCTCTAAACGAATATATGAGACAATGACTGAAAATAGTCAGAACGAAGATTTAGAAGAGGAGACTGACGTTAGACACATTTGATAGACGCGCTTGCAGTGTGTAATGAAGATTCCCCATTGGAAATTTTTACTTCTAATGTCATCCTGATTATTAGATCAAAAAAGAGAGAAAAGGGGGTGATGGGGGTGAGGAAATTCATAGTACATTTTGGATTCTGACATTAAAAACTAGTAGTGGCATCTTCTATCTGTTTTGGATGGCTGTGTTTCTGATACAAAATGGTCCTTTCTTTCGACCATGAGCTTAAATGGTTTTTGATGCACGACGAATTAAAAAATAGGAAGAAGAAGCAAGAAAGAGGGGAGAACCGGAGAGAATGGGGGGAGGAACCGGAGAAGAAGCAGAAATTCATGGGGAAGAGGAGGAGAGAGAGGAAGGAGAAGCCATAGGCAACAAACCACCAAAATATTCTTCAATTCATCAAAACTAATGAAATTACATCGCATTAGGTTTAAATAGTAAAGACTAAAACCCTAAGTAGAATGGACTTGGGCCAACACAAGCTTAATTACATAAATAAAATCTAAAACATAAAGAAAGTCCAACTAAAAATAAATAAAAAGTAGATGTCCTCATCAACTCTTTCGGGGTGGGAGAAAAACTCGACCCTGTCGAGTTGATAGATGGTATAGACTACAGTCAATTTGATGCTCCAAATGTGTCAAGTCAAGCCACAGGGGACGATCTTTCTGACGAACCAAGTAACAAAATTTCATGATTGATAGTACTGAAAACTGTAGCTTATTTCTAAGAATATGATATGACCAAGGGGGGCGATCTTTCCTTCTAACCAAGTACTGATACTGGATTTCAAATAACCAATACTCATGCACCTCATCTTCAAGATTTTTACATGATTGTATATAATGAGGAGCATAAGAAGCACGTCGATCTACCTAACAAACAAGGAAGTACTGAATCTTGCCATCATTGGTCAATACAACACGTTCATCTAAAATAACATCAATTTTATCTTTGTGTGTTGCGATAGATGGTATTGAAGTAAAAATATCAACATAATCAAGTTGGGGGTCCATAAAGCTAAGTAGAAATAGATTATCAAAGGAAGTAACACGGTGTTTATAAGTAATGAATTCCTCAGTATTTAAAGCAGAGTAGTAGCCAAAATGTGATGAAAGGGCAATGATACGTGCATTTGAACCAACATGCTTTAACATTTTTAAAGGACCAGCACTACAAGCTTGCAATATAACATAATCCCCAATATTAAATTCAAAATATTGTTTATGCAAATCAGCTTGAAGTTTATATAATGCATTACTTGTGTCATGTTGTTTATTGATCTCAATATGCAAGTCATGAAGATGACGTACAAATACTTCAGCTGATAATGACACACTAGCATGCGGGGACATGGGAATAAGATCTAACGGCCGCCTAGACTTATAACTATGAACAATTTCAACTGGATTTAGACCTAGAGACTGATTCATAGAATTGTTATATGCAATCTGAGCAGTTGGGGGATCGAGTCCCAATTCCCAAGATTTTTCTGGACTAGAGACTTGAATAAATTGTTAGAACTTTGGTTAACGACTTCATTTTGACTATCAGTCTGATGTTGGTCTACAGTGGAGAATTTCAATTTAGTGTTAACCATAGGCGACTGGGTTCTCCAAAAGTGACTAGTGAAATCATGGGATATAGTATCTAGAGTCTCAGGAAGAATCTGGGTGCCACCTAAGGAGGTGTCCTTACTATCATCTTCAAAATCTTCAAGTTTAGGTTCGTACACTAGATCTTCTATTACATTCTTTCGTTCTTCTATGACTAAGGCTCGATTAGGACATTTGGAAGAGATGTGACCAAAGTCCTTACAGCTGATGCATAGCAGGTGAGAAGAAGTCTTTGGAGATTCAAAAATTTTACCCTTATTTTCCAAGATGGGAGGAACATTAGACAGGGAAAGTTCTAGAGGGGACTTAACGGGAGGAAGTGGAGCCAATGAAACAGAAAAATAGTTGTCAATATGCTTTCTATATGGAGAAGAGGGCATTGGACTATCACGACCTTTACACTTATTTTTCCAAAAGGGAGGAACACTAAATGGAAAAGGTTCTATGGCAGACTCACGTTGAGGTGCCGCTGATGAGATGGGTGAACGATGGTGACTCCGCTTTTCATATGGAGCATTAATAAGCAACTCGTAGTCCTGAGCTAAAGAGTAAGCGTGATCAAGAGTAGTGACACCTCGAAAGAAAAGCTTACGCCTGAGTTAATCTCTTAGACCTTGTATAAACCTACTCAAAGTCAGGGCCTCATCCTTAACGACATGACATTTCACTCGAAATTCCTCAAATTGAGTAATGTACTCAGTTACTAGCTGATTTCCTTGTGTAAGGGTGTTCCATTGGGTAAAAATTCCATGATTTAAGCAACCATCGAAAGTAGGAATATCTAAGTCAATGTTTCTAACGAAACACTCCTTACGACGAGGAAGAGAATGAGTACCATGATGACCATGGCCTTGTTCTCGCTCACGAACCTGATCCCTATTCCTACGATCGCGTCGAAAATATTCTTAATCACTTCGTCCACGATGATATTGTCTATTATGAGACGCTTCAAAATTAGTGTCAGTCAAACGAGGAATTCGCTTAAAATTGCTCAACTTAGCAGCTAGGTTCTTTCTCTCCTCACGAATAGCAGTTATATCTTATTGGACAGTCGATAGACTAGTGGCAAGTTGCGCTAATTGTCTAGTGAGTGCATCAAATTGGGATGGATCCATGGTTAATGTATTGGAAATAAAGACGACAAGACGACCACTATACAACTACATGCAATGTAATACCAGCTAAATGACGTGCTATGATGAGATCAGTGAACAATATGTGCAAGCAATGGAAAATAACTTGTACCATTTTTTTTAATTTTAAATATTGGTATTAATTAAATCCAAAACAAGCTAATACTGCTAGTACATATAAAATGGCAAAGCAATGGTCAGCACACTAGTCAAATTCTCCAATCAATTTAAGTGGGGAACAATGAAAGTCAATTCGATCACTGGTGTCAATTCGATTAATGGTTTCAATCAAATGGGGTTTAAGGCTAAAATTCTCATGATAACAGCAACACAATATTTTAATTGATGCAATTTTAAAAATGAAGCAGTAGTATAAACCAATACTAAATAGAGATCAAGGACTCCCTGTTGTTTAGTTTTGATTATTTGTATGCCGATTGATCTGAATTGCCGACTTATGAGCCCCAACTATGCTTCTGTTATTCCCTTCGTGTCCAATGGTTTTAGCCCCTATTGACTGTAACTTGTGCTGGTTCTGGTGTGGACGTGAAACTGAGTGTGGTGACTGGCTTTTAGATTGTTGAGATGAACGAGGAATATATGTGTGGTAACGATGGTGGAAGTGTATGATCTTGGGTTGGTGGTGGTGGCCTATGGCGATGAAGCAGTAGTGCTTTGGATGTCTGGATACAATAAATAATGAAGTGGTGGCGTGATGGTGATTAGAGGCGACGGCAAGAGAGTGGTTGTGAGAGAGGAATCGGGTGAAACTGTGTGGTATTTGATGTTAATGAATTGGTTATAATCGGGCTTGGTCGGATATTTGGGATTGGGCTAGATGGGAAGGGGTTTGGATCCTGTTATAGAGATGAGCCAGCTGGGGTTAGTGTTTGGGGAGTGGGCCTGGGTCGCAGAGAGTAGGCTGGATTAGTTGGGCTAAATGGAATTGGGCCGTGTGTAAGTAGGATTGAATGTTAGGGTTGGAATTTGTGAAACAACACTACAATTGTATAGAAGAAATAGTAGCAAACGAGATTTTTTTTGGGTGGAGGGGAATTGAAATTGCAGAAAAAACCTAAACTGAAATTTCCGCCTGTGAACAGTAACGTGAACAATTTTTTTTTTGGCAACTACAATAAAAAATTTAAGGAAAAAAACTGAAATTGGGTGTGAACAGTAACCCGAATAGTAACTTTTTTTTTTTCAACAACGAATGACAACTAGAAAAATGGAATCTGCTGCTTGTGCACTGAAAATCTTTTCATTTGTGTTGTTCCAACAAATTTTGGGAAGAAGGGGAGAAAGAAGTTTGTATTATAGATTAGGTTTACCCAAGTTTCGATTCTGATACCAAATTTGATACAGGACAAGTTAAAAAATAGGAAGAAGAAGCAAGAAAGAGGGGAGAACCGGAGAGAATGGGGGAGGAACAGGAAAAGAAGCAGAAATTCATGGGGAAGAGGAGGAGGGAGAGGAAGGAAAAGCCATAGGCAACAAACCACCAAAACATTCTTCAATTCATCAAAACTAATGAAATTATATCGCAATTAGGTTTAAATAGTAAAGACTAAAACTCTAAGTAGAATGGACTTGGACCAACACAAGCCCAACTACATAAATAAAATCTAAAACATAAATAAAGTCCAACTAAAAATAAATAAAAAGTAGATGTCCTCGTTAGTTTTCATGGATGGATGGCATAGGAATATGCAGTCAATCAGTTATCATAAGTTATATCATTATTACGTTGGTAGAATCATCTTTTGATTTTGGCTAAATATAATTTATTTTATAAACTGTATTCTTATCTGCCGATCAAATTGTAGCTCATCTTCATCCATAGAAATGACTGCAAAACGTTTTATTCAGTTTCTCTTGAAATCTCCTGTTGTTTCAAGTAATCTTTTCTTCTGTTAAACAGGGATCTCAAAAAGCAACATCTTTAATCGCCAGTGTCTGACTTGTTTATGTACTACAGTAGCCTTGATAGTAGCTCCTGGTGTTTCTAATTCTGGACAAAATGCAAGTGCCTTGGATGGCAAAGAGCGAGCTGTATGTCAAAATTGCGGGGGTAGTGGTGCTATTATCTGTAGGTATGAATGCTTACTTTATCTCCAATGCTTATTATGGTTGCCTTATATCACTGTTCACTCAGACTGCAAATAATGAGGTAAAACACCTTATTAGCATCTCTTGAGCTTTGTCAACCATCAGTAGGATTTATTATGCATTTTTGCATGAAGTGACTATACCATTCACATAGAAGTTTTCTATTTGTTGTAGGTCCACTGTTATTTTGTTTCGTTTAAGCAATTTTCAGCAACAAAATTTCTTTTGAACAGATGAATTTGTAAGAAAAGAAAAGGAAAATAGGACAGTTGAATAGTCTCTTTAAGAAAGTCCTAGAGAGGCTTAGTTGATCCATCATTAATGTTTTATCCCAGCTATTACTTCATCAAGACCGTGGATTGAGAAACGGTTATATTGAAAAGAGAAAAATAATAAATTGCAAATTTGTCACTCTAGCTCAAATTTGGGCCCATAATACCTTTTTAGAAAGAGAACGACAAGACGAATTGAACTCATGTCATAGCTGTAATGTGTGATGAATTTTAACCATTAGAATTCGTTTAAAACTCGAAAACTGCCTTTAAAAGTTTTAGTACTATTTTTTATTTTGAATTCTTAACAATTTATTTCTTTTATGCTAGTTTTTATTTTTTCATTTTTTTATTTATCATTTAAACGCTTATAAATAAAGGATTAATTCATTGTTTTTGGGCATCTTGAAATTAAAAAAACTTCTTGACTTATATCTTTCATTCTTTGGTGGATTCTGGATTTGTGTTCTTAAAGTTTTCGTTTGAATTATTTGTTTCGTGCTGCACCAAAGACCATGAACATGAGCAGTGTCATCGTCTACTCTAAGTCTTGGAGTATGGTACCAGTTCCGTCAAGATCTCTTCCTTAGTTGCGGAAAGAATCTGCATGACTGGAAACGTAACCTGATAAACTATGGGACAATCATTTTTTCTTAATGTGTTCAAAATCTGTTCTCTCCTGTATCTTTGCCTAAGGACACTAAGTACTGCAAAACACTTGACATTGAGCCCACAAGAGTCGATGTTTGAATTCTTCGAAACATTCAGTCGTATCTAGTTTTATGTCTCTTTTTATTAACCTAGACTGATCTGCGAGATGTTTATTTGCTCGTTATTTAGATGTGATATGTGCGGTGGTACGGGAAAATGGAAAGCTTAGAATAGAATAAGGGCCAAAGATGTTTACGAGTTTCCAGAATGTCCAAATTGTTACGGTTTGTTACTTATCACAACTCATAGATTCATTAATATGAAGTTTGGTTCTTCACTCTGTATTCTCCATAGATGCTCATTATGCTGTTGAACTATTACCGTCGGTAATTTAGTATGATAGAAGATTATAGAGATAATACTGACAGGAAATTATGATGATGGAACGTTAACAGCATAATCAAGAAAGGACAACAGTGCAATGTTCATTACAATTGCATTTTGAGTACTTTTTCCACACAAACCCTGCCAAATAAAGAACTCTCATTACTCAGTTCGAGCTCCTAAGTATTTATCGGTGGTTTGAATCTGTAGCATTTATGATACGTGACAGGTGGGTTTTGGTGCAGGTCGAGGGAAACTAGTGTGTCCCGCGTGCCTGGGGACTGGTTTGCCGAACAACAAGGTCTTCTAAGGCGGCCAGATGCACGGCAGTTGCTTGAAAATATGTATAATGGACGTTTATTACCAAACTCTTTAGGAAAAATCTTATCAGAAGTCCACTCTAAAAGAGAACTAGCTCACCAGAAATAGATTTTCAATAGTAGTAATCTCTTTTCAAGACAAAACATTTTCAATATAACATAACTTCTTTTTTCAAATTCAGATTGTATTTATTTTCATCATTGATCTCAAGCAATTCCAAGAACATAACAAGACTAGCAAAGTAGCAATCATGGCTCAAATGTCTAGATGGAGACGAGGAAAAAGGGCAGTTCAAAGTTAAATGCATTTTATCAAGTGAAATGCTGTTAACAACACTGTTTCAAATTCTGCATATTCTAATCATTCAAATTCTAAGCTAAAATTACATTTGCATTGCTTATACTATTATTCGTAAGACGAAACATAAAGGTGAACTTATTGTCTGAAAGAATTGAGATCAGGAAATGGTACAACCTGCCGATTGGGCTGAAGCAGTAAATGTCTCTGTGTAATGAGTTAGAACAGGGGCTTGATCTGTTACATTAATTCTTACTTCTAATACCTGCCAAAACAAACAGATCGAGGTCACTAACATGTCTTCTCCATCTTCTTTTAAGGCTAAGGGTTAGTTTAGTAGGGCTTTTAAAAAATCATATGTTGCTTCTGAGACTATGAACTTGTTTTTGAACATATTTGGATAAAGCTCTTTGGCTAGAAAAGCTTTTAGAGAAAGTTGGCCTAAAGTAGCTTCTTCAAAAAGCTCCTCGACAAGAAGTAGAAGCAAAAGCAAAAATAAAAGCAAAAGCTCTACCAAACGGGCCCTCAATGAATGATGTACAGAGTAATAAAAGATGTCTTTAATCGTGCATCATGACAATTTTCTTCTTTGGTGGGCACATTTGAGATTGAAACTGAAGTCCTTTTCTTCTTCCCCCTCAATTATATTTTTCAGTACATCCACATGAAAGGATAACTCATAAAACTAGTAGTATAATCAATGTTTGGAACGGCTTGGAGCGTGGGAAAGTACTTACAAGTTAGATTAATGGTTGTAAAATTCCCATTCTTCTTTTGACAAGTCTAGAAACTCTGAACTGCCATCTTCAAACATGATCTGGCGAAGGAAAAAGACGAGTAAATTAGAAAATTTTAATATTTTTTGGCAAACCAAAAGTATTTGTTGCAACAAGGAGCCATTGCTGCCTCACCGAATGTCTTCTTGTGGCCTTATCAAATCGTTTTATTATCCCAAAAGACCTGACAAATATGAAGCAAATGCAATAGAATATTCAGCATATAAACTTATGATCCTGTGAAAATGAGATACAATGGAAACATCTAAACTATGAACTATAGATTAAACTCTAATCACCTAGAGAGCAGTTAACAATTCATGCAGAAAAATTCAATTAAAATGCTTCAAAAAAAATAAAAATAAAAATTCAATAAATGATATTCAAGGAGATCAGAGAATCAGAAATACCTCTTATCCAAAGAGCGAATAATTCTTATTACTGAACCAATGCAATTATGAGGTTTTCTTCTTGAAATAGATTTACAACCTAAACCTCCTGAAAAGGTAAGTACAATAACCAACATTACAAAAATTTCCAAGTTCAAATGGAGAAGTCCTTGGCAAAACTGACAATTGATTCTGAGAAGAAACCCACCTACAGCAGGAATTCCATTTGAATGGACCTACAAAAAAGGGTAATGCAATAACTTACTAGCCCATTTATAAAATCTTCAGAAAGTGGCATAAGTACACATACATCTTTTATTGAATGTGTAAAGAAGGTAAGAATAAATACATAGTGGTATTGGACAGGAAAGCATGTGATATGTAGTACTCTCCTACATAACAACGACGACTCTCTCACAATTCTCCATCCTCTTCAAGAAAAAAAGATAGAAATGTGAGTCTCTAGACTCTCACCCTTTCATGCAAAAAAACTTGTCACTGCATCAAACTCTCTAAAACTTATTTTAAGGTTTCTAGCTTTCATTATTTTCCTTCCCCTTTTTGTTTTAGGTTTAGTTTTTTATATTTTTTAGCAAATGCCATGACATCCTATGCCTTAGTAGCTCAGTTATGAACCTTGCTGACCATGTTTTCAATGGCCAGTAACTTCAAGCTGTCACCCAAACTTTCAAATGCAAAACTTTTATTCCTCCTTCAACTCCTTCACATGGTCCTCATAGGTCCTTTCCTATTCATCTCACCATTGCTTCTTCTGGAACGGAACCAGAAATCCAGGCCCAATCTTCCATGAAACACACTTTGCAAGGCCCAATCAATCAACTATAACAATACCATATTCCAAAGTCAATCCCAGCCAGACCATGGAAGAGGTCAATTCATGTTTTGGCACCATTAATCCAGTCCACTGGAATCTTTCAATCTGAGCTAACTTCTCCATTCAATTCAGGAATGAGAAGTATCAGAACCATATGATAAATACAGTGTGTAAAAAAAGTGGAACTTTGTGTCTTCTATCTTGATGCTCAAGCAAAACTTACATGTTTTCCTATTTTTTCAGAATTATTTGAGGCTGTAATCCCTTTTTTGAGGGAGGATAGAGCTGCTTTCATTTTCGGAGAATTGGCAGCCATTTGACATGCTACTATCTTCAATGCAGCATCTGAAGGCATTTTCAATTTATTAGGCTTAACTCCTAGCTTTTTCCTGCAGCCTGTAGCACCACAGAAGCAATCTTGATCTGCTCCAAATTGAACAAACCTGCGAGATACTTGTTAGATTGACATGGAGATCATGATTCTTGGAAGAAAAAGAATCAGCAGTTACAATATGCTTCAAAAGTTCAAGTAATAACCCGTACTGATAATCATAGGTCAGATGTTCGCCCTTTACAATATCACGAGTTGCAAATATACCTATTCTTGTTTCACCATCAATCATCCTGAAAGGAAAAGTTGAGTGAGAACTATGCTAACAGAAAAATGAGATTAAAATGCAGAGAATAAGGATCAGTTCAACCATTTCTGCATCTCAGTGTTGGGACAGCAACTGTGATTTATGTATCTGGATTTGTTTCCCTTGTAAGTTGCATCAATCACCATGTCTCTATTAATTTCACACAAGTAAAAATTTGTCTCTCCACGGTGTTTCATTTTCCAAAGCCTTTCCTCACATGTTTTGTCATCGATCACTGCAATCATGAGTAACATAATGCATTCAATTTATATTTTTATGTTGAAGACATAAAGTGATAAAATAAACATGCAAAACTGATAATTTTTCACCTTCTCCAACATATTCTATCACGAACTCTCCTTGCTTAATATCTTCCCCAGCCACAACTCCCAGTCCACATTTCTCAGTCTTCCAAAAATAATAATAATAATAATAATAATAATAATAATAAATAAATAAATAAATAAAATTAATAATAATAATAATAATGAAGAGAGAGAGAGAGAGTTCGTCAGCTCCACATTTTTGCAGATAAACTGAATGAGTAACAATATACGGATATTGATCATAATCACAAGGCTGAAAGTATAAAAAATAAAAAAAAGGGGAAAGTGTATTTGGAAAGATGGAATTGGATTCAACTTGATTTTTTATTAATTCCAAACCCATGCCACCAGACATAGCACAAGTACAGTGCACAAAAATCAACCTAATAGACATCAAGGAAAACAGAACGTAAATATCTACATACAAATGGCAATAATCAGCTGCATGCTGTGCACGTACGACGAATTGTGCTAGCACCAAAAGGAGCACAGGGTCTCCCGTTGCAATTCAGAATAGACAAAAGAATGCTTAAAAAAGCAAATCTCTAAGAAATTGGTGTTACAATGCGAAATGAAGAAGAGATGAACCTTACAGAAGTATTGACAAAGCAAAAATATTAACAGAATATGTCATGTGAGGGTAATACACATTTATGGGGTAAAAAAGAATTATGGCCTCTTATAGAACTGAATGAGAACAAACATCCAAGAACTAGAAGTGTAGGACTAAACCAAGCAGCACTACCATCAGCTCAGATTATAGAACCCCCAACCAAGGTTTCTGTACCATTGCAAAATGTATTTATAAAGGTTCACAGATTCAGAAGAACTATATTATGGGTTTGATGGTTCTAAAAGCAAAACATATTGCACGCCTACGCGCTTTTCTAATGTGAAGAGTTTAAAAAGAGGATCCTTGACATCATATAAGATACGACCATGACTTGGAAAATCAATCTGAACAAACAGCATAAATCAAGTGATACTCCCAACCCAACAATGTGTATCAAGCTCTCAACTTCCACCATTAAGAACAAACCTCACACAAGTAATTAGTCAAGTAAAAAGGGGGATGCACGTCTCTTTAATGAAAGAAGCACACTAATAAATCATAATGGCAGACCTCCTACAACAAGAACTCTACAAAAACATAAATAACTACTTATTCCCCAAAACACTTAAGGGCATATTTGGCATATTGTACTAGATAGGTAGAACCAACAAACATCTCACGTCTCTCTTCCTCAATCTTGTCTAGTAGCTCAACAAGCCTAACAGCAAGTGTTAAGAGAGTGGGTCCATGAATGAATATCAAGCTCTTGAAGAAGTTTTGATGTTTGGTATGCTTGCACGTGCTCATGGTGTATACCGCATTCCAAGATTTCAGTCAAACAGGACCCAGAAGCTATGATAAAAGAAAATGAGAGCATCTGCAGAAGGGATCTTTTGTTTTGATTAAATGTTTCATTATAGTTGTAATGATAAAAAAGAACTGTCACCTCAACTGTTTTCATCTTTTTCACAGGTCGTTGATGGAATGGCTTATTCACACAGGAGATCCCACAATTACAGGCAAAAGAGCAGCTCGACATGAGCATGCTGCAAAAAAAAAAAAAACTACTAATCAAGAAAAGATATTTTTCAATCCATAGCAGAAAACATATGAACTCAAGTATCAATTAACAGCTCAAAAAGAATGATGATCCCATCCAAAGAATATTAATGTGCACAACAAAGTATAACTTTCCCAGAAAATAAAGCAAGAAAAGCCAGAAAATACTCCATCATGCAGAGAGATTTTCACTGGAAATACACAGAAGATAAAATGCTCTGCTTAACTCAACTAGACCTTATCACATACGTACATAGGGATCGCTACATAGAGTATTTTCTTTAGCTCTATTTTATCAAAGGTCAACACAAAAGTTACACCAGCAGAAAGGTATATATCCTTTGGTCATTACTCATTCTATGTCATTTTAGTTCAATATCTTCCTAGGCACTTTTCCTAACTGGTGCATGTGGCAGCCCTTGTTGAACTAATTAAATCACTCCTATCAATTACCCTGCAGTATCTCCTCAATGAGTACGACTTTATCCAACTCTATTCTCATTCTTACTCTTATCTTTTTCATGTTTTACCAAAAATCCATCTAAACATTCTTGTTTCAACTATACTTGATTTACACCAACAGACGGACAGTGTTACATAACAGCACCAGAAATAAATCCGAACTAGAAGGAATGACTAGTCAGTGATACCATTCTTTTAAGTGACGCACCGCGGATAAAAAGGGTGTTTGATCCTTCACATACGAGGTGTAAGGCAACAAAATGAGAGGCGTTGTAATCTGGCTTTGCCACTGCCCAAATAACCCCCACAGAGGAAAATGTGTTTTAACCTTTTCGCTTAAATTCTTCCTTCATTAAAGGCCAAATTCTTCCTTCATTAAAGGCCAACACAACAACAATAGTTCATCAACTCTTTATGTCATGGTTATGAAGGATAAAAACTAAGATTGTCTGTAAAGGTAGAACTACCATTCAGTCAAATTTAACTGTATATACAGTAGGGAAGAAAATAGCCTACTCAAGCTAAATTTGTAAACTTGCAGGGAACCAATATGTGGTCGTAAAATTTATTTTTCAATTTTGGGGACCAATGTATAGTCCTAAAATCTGTTAAGGTAGAGCTACCATTCAGTCAAATTTAACTGTATATACAGTAAGGAAGAAAATAGCCTGCTCAAGCCAAATTTGTAAACTCACATTTATGGAACCAATATGAGGTTCTAAAATTTATTTTTCACATTTTAAGGACCAATGTATAGTCCTAAAATTCCATCACTACAATGTATTTAACAGTATCAAATTATTAAAGTAACTTAATCCTAGATGTCCTTACCCACATAGGCAATCTCTGCCACAAACCCCAGATGATCCAGCCATTGAGCTGCATGAACAAAAGATGCCATCGTCCTCCTGACGCCTTTTAACCTTCTTCACAAGATATACATCTTGAAGTTGTTAAGATCAACAAAAAACGAAAAGGAGGGGGAGAGATGGGAGTCAGGTAGACCAAACAGAGTTACAAAAAAGGGTATTAATGAACAGTGGATATCTTGATTGGGAAAGGAGTTACAAAGATGAGAACAAGCATATAAAATAACAAATATCAACATATGGCACTAATCATAGGAACTAAAGCTTTTAAGGATACTGCGCCTGATAAAGGAGTAGGGTGTAGGTTTCCATTTATTTAAACATTCAGGAAGTTCAAAGTCAACTGGACATCCAATCTCCTCCACCAATTTATCAAATACTTGCAAAGTAACACTACGTCCAGAATGCTGCTAACAAATACAAAAGACAAATATAACATAGGCCAACATTAGTCTTTAAATGAGTATATCAGAACAGTTACATCCATATCTCCATAACATCCAAAGTAGATAAGAAGTCACGAAACCGTGATTCCATCTTACAGATAGATAGGGCATGAACAACATGAGCAGTGATTACGAGTTCCCGACAATGATAAAACAAAGAAGATAAAGCTTATGACCAACAAATAAGCATACCTAGATCGAATTGCATGAAACTATATAAATACATAATCGATACTTATTTAAATTTTCCTAATTATGATTGATTACAAGTCTGTTTGAACGGGTAGATTTCATTTTTTACTATAATTTCACTCCAGTTCAATGAGGTAACTATACTACACTTTAATTTGATTTCAATTGATAACTCCATCTGATTCCTTTACTTGGACTGATGGAAATCGATGACATAACAATTAATAAATGATGCATGTCATTAAATTCATTGAAGTTGACCTCTTTCATTTACACAAATAATGGTTGTGTGTAATTGCAAATATTTATTGATTACCACATTATCAATTATTATCAGTGGAACTTGACAAAATTATCTTCATTAAAATCAAATTAAGGTGTAGTTACCCAATTAAAATCGTATCAAAGTGTAGTTTTACTCTTACATTATTGACACTAGAGTGAAAGTAGGAATTTATCAAGTTTTAACTCACTAAAAAAAATTAAACACCTTATCTAGGAGGGTTTTCAGCTTTCCTCTCCCACTCATAACAATCAAAACAAGAAGCTCTTCTTTTAATTGTCTTCACATGTGATCATCCCTTTAGACTACATTTATAAACCTCAAAGATGTCCATGTATCTATAAGAATAAAAACCACATAAAGTACTATTAAAAGGGAAAAATTTACAATGTAGTCAGATGTTTAATTGCCTAAACAAGCATCTTTCATCATTAAAATCAATGTCTTTGTCAAGCAAAACACTTAAAACATGCAAGCTTTGGACCTATCTCCTGTATTTTGAGTATAATGTAATAATACATGCATTGCTGGTCTATATTTAGATAAAATCCATTATGCTCTATATGTCACTGGTAACAGGGCAGGGACAGAGAGTAATTCCAATAAAACAGAATCAAAAGAATGACTTTCCCTTGCAAACACCATTGTTCCTAATGATATAAAACTCTGAACTTTGAGCATAATGTGGACAATTTTATTCTCTACTGAGGGACTATCTTTAAGTCTTACATCTTCTCTGGTGACAACAATGCATTCTTCAATCAGATGAGAAGGATATAGAAACATTCATATTCAGATGCCATTGATCCTAATGTTATAAAACTCTGAACTTCGAGCATAATGTGGACAATTTTATTCTCTGTTGAGGGACTGTCTTTAGGTCTTACATCTTTTGTGGTGACAACAACGCATTCTAAAATCAGATGAGAAGGATATAAAAACATTCATATTCAGATGCATAAATAACGTATACTTCTTCTACAAGTGACCTATATCAGAAAAGGCTAACTAATACGATTAGAATTTAGAAGTAACTTCATTGACAGTTCTATACATCTTCATCGTCACCCACGAGTGGTAAGACAACTAAAGAACAAAGAGCGAGAGGGGCAAAAAAAGATAATCATACACATAATGAGTAGACGAAGAAGTTCATAACAAAGATATACTGATAAAAACAATCATATGCAGGACATTAGATTTTGAGACAAACCTTCTTCATAATGGTCATGGCCTCAATAAGTTGGCTGCTTAGAAATACTAAGAGATTATAGTCTACAGAAGCAAAAAAACTGTCAATGGCCAAGGGTAAAATAAAGAGACAAGCAAGCCAAAAAAGCATATCATATTAAAATTGTATTAGATAAATTTATTACAAGAGACAAATAGGACTTACTGAAAAAATCCAAAACCATCAGTTTTTATTTTTGATTTTATACTAAATTTTTCAAAATTGAATTCCGCTTCTTATTCCTATTACTACATAATTTTACCAATCACAATTACTGGTCATATGGAAAACACTGCGCAAGACAATAATTCATTATAATTTTTCAAGTAAAAAGATATAATAATTAACAAATATTATGTGCTCAAGAGAAATATGATAAAGCACCCACTAAGATTGGGTTTGAACTCCAGATAGCCTTCAATTAGAATTAAAAGGCTGCATTTATATACTTGCCTCCCATTTAGTTCATATCCGTGTTTCTGTGTTGCTTCTTTTGTCTTTTTCTGTGACGCAGAGTAATTGTAACATGAAAAACCTTAGAAATTAATAATTTGTGGCTCTTGGAAGCCAATAACACTTAAGAATATTGATCTCAATTCAGGCAAAATCTAGCAGTGCCCAAAAATATAAACTGAGGAAGTAAATAATCGTGCAGATTCCAATTGTTAATTTCTCACAGATAATTTCACCCTGAATAGAGTGGAAAACAATGTTCGCAACAATACTGACATTTACAAGTACGCACGAACGTTCCAAATTTGAAATTCGCACAGTATTCAAATTTTCTAATTCGTCAAAATTAACTATAAACATCAAGAAAGTAGGGTAAAACAAAGAAAAAAAAAACTTTCACAAGGAACTATAATTAAATAAGGAAAAAATGAAAAATTAAATTGATATGATCCCCAATTTCAAAATTATTGTCAAGAACTAGGGTTTTATAATGCAAGTAGAGAAAATGTGGAACGCGAAAAGAAAAATATGAAAACGAAATCACCCAAATACAAGTTCTTACTTGCAGCCGGAAGAAGGGAATCGATGGCAGCGAGGGGAACGGAGAGAGGGAGAAATTGTTGACAGGTGAGGGAGTGAATTGTAATTTTGTTAGAAATGGGATTTGTAATGTAACGGTCTCATTTCACCAGTTTTCAGTTTGGACAAAGACACTTGTGCATAACTTGTTAGGGTTATGCTACATATACAGTGTTTATAAAGGTGTTCATAATATACAAATAGTATAACATTATTGAAAAGATGAAAAATAGTTTTTTCAACCTTCCAATTATTTAATTTCATATGTATGTTACACTCTTATGAATATCATAATATACATATAGAATTATTCAATTTTTTATACATAATGTCTATTCGAGCGGGGCCCACTTATGTGAGGGGTGAACACTCATTTGTATCAAAAATTATGTACCTTGAGCATTTCTCTTTCAATTTTCTCCGAATTTAGTGTTCGTGGGCTATCTAGCGTGTCGAAAATATTTGTATATAGGCCGGGTAGAAGCCCACTACAAGAACCAAGTGCTGATTTCAACTTTTAAGTGTGTTTGAGCAACATTATTTTAAAAGAATGTATTTTGAAATAATAAATTGATAGAGAATGTGTGATTAAAAAATAATTTTTTTAATTTGTGTAATATTATTTTATTGAGTTTTAAGAATGTATATTTTTTTAAAGAATGCTGCTTAAACAGACAAATTTAACACTTTTTTCTTTAATGAAGCGAAAATTAATTTTAGCCCCCATTTGACCTCCATTACTTTCAATTCAAAATTTTCTCGAAATTATTTTTAATCACATAATTCATGAAATTCATAATTTTTTGACCACATTTCAATTTTCATCAATATCTATTTTTTATCCAAATCAAATAGGGCTTAACGTTTGCATGAACGCATCCTATTCAAAAAAACTTAGTTGTACTTTCATTATCAATGATTGGGGATGAATGGTCAAAGCAAATAATCATTTCTTGAATGAGCATAAGGGTCCGTCGAGTTTTGCTGGATTACCAAGGTAGGGGGTTATCTCTACCGACTACTCACACCAGGTGGATTTTATGCGGGATTCACCTGTATAAGAAATTATCGAAAAAATACCCACACATTTCTCTGTTATGAGTAGTCGGCAGGGGTTCTGTGAAATCCTCCTTTGGCACCCCAGCAAAACTCGGGTCCGTCTGATAACGTGTTTAAAAAATTTTAAACTATTTCTAAAATGTAAAAGATCTAGAAGCACTTTATTTGATTATAAGAGTTTTCAAATGAAGATGATGACTTCTTCAAAAAATCTTTCTACAAAAAGTAGAAGCAAAATCAAAAGTTCTATTAAATGAATTGTGCGTGAAAAACACATTTCGCCTAGTTTTAATAGTGATGTGTGCTTGCTTTTAGTTTTGGGCAAAAAATCGAAAATTTGATCAAATGAATCCAACCGAACTGACTCGGGTTTGTTCGGGTCAATTTGACACATGTAATTAGTTTGATTTGATTTTTCTTTTAAACAAAATCATGGTGAAATAATTTGAAGTCTCAAGCCATTGATTAATCGAATCAATCCATCTCGCTTACATGTTTACCTTTTTTTTTTTAATTTAAGAAAAATAAAAATAAAAAGATAATCCCAAATCTCATAATTATATTTGGATTTCCCTCTAATTTATGATGTTGCCGATAAGGAATGACTGGTAGTTTTTATTTGAATACATAAGACATGCAATACAAGTGCAGAAAATGAATTCCTAAAAATTCAAACATGGCATTAGTAAATTTGTAGTAATTTGTAACAAACGGAAGAAGAAAGTGGACTACTTTGATTAATATTGCTATTTATCACCACGTAGAGTCATCACCAATTTGTGTGATACTGTGACAATTGTAATATTTTGTTCAATAAATAAAAATGTATCTTTAACTTCTTCTAATGATGTGACCTAATCACCATATAGACTAATGACAAATATTATTATTTTCGGAACCGTTTCGTCCTACTCATAAATTTGATAAATTTATTTGATAAATAGTCATGACCTTTAATTTAAATCAATGCAACGCTCAACATCTTTTGGATTTCAGGTGATTATAACAAACTCTTTTATAATCTTAATGAAATACATATTGAGCATTGAATTGATTTAAATTAGAAGTCACGATTATTTATCAAATAAGTATGTCAAATTTATGAATAGGACAGTAGGAGGAACAACCATGTTATTATTTAACCCTTATTTGGTAAAAATTAAAATCAAAATTTAATTCAAGTCAAAGTCAACAATTAATTTTAATTATAAATTTCATCAAATCTACCAAACTTATTAAAAGTCTAATTTTAATTTCTACCAAACTGGGGATCAATTTATATTATTAGTGGAATCAACCATATTATTTTGGGTTAGAGATGAAGATGTGTGTCCCAAAAGCGATCTGTATTATTTGATATATTTAAGGGTGAACACCGCAGTTATCAAAGGGGATGTAGCTCAGATGGTAGAGCGCTCGCTTAGCATGCGAGAGGTACGGGGATCGATACCCCGCATCTCCAATATCTGCTATATATTTTTCTTTTCCTTACTTTTTTTTTTTTTAATCATTTCACGTGTTGCATTAACATTTGCCAGCCACAATATTCACACATTCCAACGCATCATGATTATCTTAGTCAAAGATAAGACCGCCACCACCCACTCCAATGATTCGTCACAGTTACTCTTCATCACACCCTTCAACCAATTAATCGATACATAGATACTGTGAGATCTTGAACATATTCAGGTCTAAAATCGTTATCTTAAGACAGCCCACAAGAGGGAAATCCAAGATTTTGCATTGAAACAAGAGAATAATGAGCAAGACAGTGAGGAAACTGCAAGTGGCATCGCCTGTGCCGGCAGATATAGATATAGCTAATTCAGTTGAACCACTTCACATCTCCGAGATTGCCCAGGAACTCAATCTTAGTCCTCACCACTACGATCTCTATGGCAAGTACAAAGCCAAGGTATTAATTTTTTCTGCGTTCTTGTGTAGATGTGCTTAATAAAGATGCGTATAGGGAATCCGTTAATGAATGGTGATTATTTACTTCTGTTTATAAATGGGGTTTTCTTCGTAAATCAGTTTCAATTGCCTTTATAATATCGAGGCGATGATCTATATAAATGCTTATGAGTATGCACTATGGGAACTGGGTGATTAATTTTAGCCCCTGTTTGATTCCATTATTTCAAAACTCATTTTTTCTCAAAATCATTTTCATCCACATTCTCACCATAAAACATCTTGCATGTAAAACTCAATTTTTATTTATTTATTATTATTATTATTATTATTTTTTAACCACGCATTCTCAAAAAATCCACTACTAAACTCTCTTTTTCCACCCCCTCAATAATGGTCATCAATTATGTAAGCATTGCAGGTATTATTGTCAGTGATTGATGAACTGCAAGGTAGAGGAGATGGGTATTATGTGGTGGTTGGAGGGATTACTCCAACACCTCTAGGAGAAGGCAAGTCCACTACTACTGTTGGTCTTTGTCAAGCATTGGGAGCTTTTCTTGATAAAAAGGTAATATTTGGGTCACTTCACTTGTATTTGTCTTTTATGTTGATATTTCATGCATCAGTTTCTATATCTGCTGCACACCTGTTTCGACTTTCAAGTAATATAGAAGTGAGATCAAAGCCAGAAGAAGAGTACGAGGAAAAAGTAATTAGGTAAATATTGATGTTGCTTGATATGTGGATTGTGGGTATAATTTACAATACAATTGGGAGCAGAACAGAGTTAAAATCCTATTAAGCATGAAGAAACAACTGTTAAACTTTGAAAGCATGGATCTTACCACACTAATGAAGTGCATTTTACACACAGACAAAAATTATACGTTAGAATCCAATGATTGGGAATTGAATTTTGACGCATCCCTGGAGCCAGTTATAGGGCATCTAACAATCGGAAACTTCTTCATTCTAGAATGCGTTAGTGGTAACATTCTCCTTCAGCATTATTATTTATAGTAAATTTATTTGATGGTGTCAAAGATAGAGTTATCTGGCTTAAATGTGAAATAAATTTCTAGCCTGACCAATTGTAAACGTGGAATATTTTAACATATCTTTCTTTCTTACATTGTTCTAAGGAGAGGTTCTTTTTCACCTCCCTCCTGTCTGGTTCTTGTAGGTGGTCACATGCCTTCGCCAACCATCACAAGGACCAACATTTGGAATCAAAGGTGGTGCTGCAGGTGGAGGCTATAGCCAAGTGATTCCAATGGATTCAATCTTCACTTGACAGGGGATATCCATGCAATAACAGCTGCAAATAACCTTCTGGCTGCAGCCATTGATACTAGAATCTTCCATGAATCCACACAATCTGATAAGGCTCTTTTCAACCGGTTATGCCCACCGAACAAAGAAGGTAAAAGGAGTTTCAACAACATAATGTTTAGCCGGTTGAAGAAACTTGGCATCTCCAAGACCAACCCAGAAGAGCTTACACCAGAGGAAGTTAAGAAATTTGCCAGGCTCGATATAGATCCCGAATCCATCACATGGAGAAGAGTAATGGATGTTAATGACCGATTCTTGAGGAAAATTACTATTGGCCAGGGTCCTGAAGAAAAGGGGATGGTAAGAGAAACGGGATTTGATATTTCAGTTGCTAGTGAAATAATGGCAGTGTTGGCTCTCACAACTTCGCTATCTGACATGAGAGAGAGGCTCGGGAAAATGGTAATTGGAAATAGCAAGGCTGGTGATCCCATTACAGCTGATGATCTTGGAATTGGAGGTGCTCTGACTGTGTTGATGAAAGATGCCATAAATCCTACATTGATGCAGACTCTCGAGGGCACCCCTGTTCTTGTTCATGCTGGTCCTTTTGCAAATATTGCTCATGGGAACTCATCAATTGTTGCAGATAAAATAGCATTGAAGCTGGTGGGACCTGGTGGCTTTGTGGTTACTGAAGCAGGCTTTGGGGCTGATATTGGTACAGAGAAGTTTATGAATATTAAGTGTCGATATAGCGGTTTAACTCCTCAGTGTGCTGTTATTGTAGCAACCATTAGGGCCCTCAAAATGCACGGTGGAGGGCCTCAGGTTGTGGCTGGCAAGCCTCTTGACCATGCCTATGTGACTGAGAATGTGGCTCTTGTTGAAGCTGGTTGCATTAATCTGGCCAGGCATATCTTAAATACAAAGGCTTATGGTGTTAATGTTGTTGTGGCTATCAACAAATTTTCAACTGATTCTGAAGCTGAATTAAGTGCAGTCAGGGACGCGGCTTTTGCAGCAGGGGCTTTTGATGCTGTTATTTGTTCTCACCATGCACATGGAGGGAAAGGAGCGGTTAGTTACTAACTTTAGTGTGTGATTTTAGGGTTTATCAATTTTACAAGAAATATTGCCTTGCTAAATATCTGACCTTTAACTATTGCCTCTCTCTTCCTGAAAGATCATAATGTTGAGGATGAAACTAATTCTTGCCCAATTAGAAAGAGATTAAAGAAAAGGAAAACTAAAAAAGCAAATAGTAAAGCACATATAAGACCGCATGAAAGTTAAAAGACCCATGGCCACGTGCCCTTCGCCAAATTTTTACGATCATCTTTTTATAACCGATATTTGTTGTATGTTGACCTGTAACAATCAGGATGTTGAAAGTAACGCCAATTTACTGTTTTGTTTACTGATGCTCTCTGTTTGTTTCTTCCCATTTCTGTTTGTTTCCCTCTTGTTGCTGTAACAACAAAGTGAATCCACAATCCTACACTTTAGGTTGTAGAGGAATAGCCTAGTCTTTTGTTGAGCTAGATTGTTAGGTCAATATTGTTTGAGATTTTGCTTTTGGTTTGTATGTCTATTTAACACAATTCATGCTGGGAAAACTAACCAGTTTGTAGGTCCTTTAGAATGTTAAATGGCTTCTGACAAGAAAATAGAACTGGTAACTAGTTAAGCATCTGCTGCAGACTTTCAATAGCAGTCTTTTTCTATACTTGGGCCCGTATGAATTCTACTGCTATTTTATCCAATCAAATGATTGGACAATAACTGGGAGTATGTTCTAAATTTTCATGCTGGATTGACAATTCGGGATGGTTCTTTAGCTTGTGTCCCAAAAAAATTCAAGGCCTTCAGCTCACAGTAAATATTATCATGTGATATATATATAAAAGGACATACATTGAGCCTTTAGTACTGGGGGCATGTTTTCTTTTCATTATGGGCTGAGGTGTTATTGAATTTGAGGTCATTAATGTCAAATTTGATTGCTAGGGCCTGACATCTTGAATGCACATAGAATCTCAAATCTTCAGTTTCTATGATGCCAAAGCATAGGTATAAAGGTAATCGAAAAACTTAATACAAAATTACATTTCATAATTCAGGAAAATGCTTTCTTTATCAGAAAGTCACTGCATAATTCAACTTCCTATTAACTACCCAGATATTGATTAGGTACTCTTTCCTGCTATATTGTGGCTTGCTTATAATCCCCCTATTACCTGCAGACTCATAAACTATCTTTTATGTTGATATCAATGTCTTTCTTCTGATTTTCAGGTTGACCTTGGCATTGCAGTTCAAAAAGCCTGTGAAAATGTGACACAACCGTTGAGATTCTTGTATCCCTTGGATATAAGTATCAAAGAGAAAATAGAAGCAATAGCGAAGTCATATGGTGCCAGTGGCATAGAGTACTCAGAACAAGTAAAGTATTTTGACATTCATATTTTATCGTCTCTCTTCCTAATATCTCTGCTCAACAACTAGAATTTGAGTTAAATGTTCATTGTTTCACATGCTTCTCTGTATTGATTGAAATGATACGAAGGTCATGCCAACTTTATCTTTTTTAATTCTTATATATGGTTCGCTATAGCAAAACTGATTTACTCGACAATAGGTTGGCCTAAAGAGATAATCTGACTTTAACATGAGGGTAACTTCTGTTATTGAACTGCACATATTGTGTTGGTGGGAGTATTTATAGGTGATTCTAATGATCCTCAATGGTATAGGCGTTTTCTTGAAAATGATATATGATCATTTTTAGTCTGAATTGGTGGTCGAACAAGGTCTATTTTCAAAGGTAGCTTTTTTTTTTTGGCTTTTACCTTAAATTTTGGTTTCTGATATTGATTTCATTGTATTTGGATGAGCAGGCGGAGAAACAGATTGAGATGTATAGCAAGCAAGGATTTTCCCACTTGCCAATCTGTATGGCGAAAACACAGTATTCATTTTCTCATGATGCTTCACAGAAAGGTGCTCCAAGTGGTTTCATCCTACCAATCAGGGACGTTAGGGCAAGCATTGGAGCCGGATTTATTTATCCTTTAGTCGGGACAATGAGTACAATGCCAGGCCTACCAACGAGGCCTTGCTTCTATGACATTGATCTTGATACCACCACCGGGAGGGTTATTGGTCTTTCTTGAGCATTGGATAAAGCTCTTCAAATTTAGGTTTGGCCTTCATTTTTCAAATAATTCAACTGCAGAATAATTGATAGGACTTATGATGTCTCGATTCTCGTTTATGTTTAATGTTGCACGTTCGGGTTAGCTTAAAAATGAGTCAAGCTTACATTTTGTTTCTAAACATATTTATTGACTTCTCCCAGTACAATTTTATTGAAAGAAAACTTGTATATAAATTAACAGTTGCACATTTCTGTATATTTCTAGATTCGGAAAAGAAAAAGGGTTTCACACTTCCAACATATGTTCCAAATGCTCGTCTAGTTAACGCGTTTGCAATCTGCCCTGATTTCTCCATTGTTTCCTGTCAAGGGACTTATATTTCCCATTTTAATCATGGACTGAACAAAAGCATTGAAAAATTCACTCTGGCTTTTCCCAAACCGGTTGACAGTAGCAACCGTATCGGCTCCACTTGTTGAGAACAGTTCTTGATCCGTCTGAAGAAGTCCCCTGTTACTCTGGAGGTTCGTGTAGTAGTTATTATCAAAACCATAGGGACTCGAATAATCAAGATTAGCTAAAGTCGTGTCATTTCCATCTTGAGGACAAGTTAGCCGCAATGTATTCAGGTAAGTAGAGTCCATGCTCGGGTCTGGGTTCCCCGTGTTGCTGAAATTGTAAAGCCGGTGACTGAAAGTACCGCATTTGGCTTTCCCAAAGGTATGAGCACCTGAAGATTAACAGTAATTAGCTAACATTATTGATTGTTATGCCTCAAAATTCATCTGTGTATTAATCTACAATACCTGATAAAGCAACTAAATCGGTGGAATCAAGACCCTTGGCGCTGAACTTGGACGTGATGTTATTAAGGCTCTCTAAAGGGCTAGGGATGTCACTATTGGCCCCTGATGGGTTTGCTTTTCTGCTATCCCTTCTGCCTAGAGAAACTTCCCATGAGGGACCTCCTCCCTGTATATGTAAACAATTCGGTCATACAGGCATATTTGGTACGTTGTATTGGATAAAATTAAAGCAAGTTTAGATACCAGGGTTACTGAAATTTGAGAAGCAAGAGCTAAAATATCTGCGCATGAGACGACACCAGGACAGACATTCTCCAATGCTGTTTTTATGTCATCAACAACATCAAATCCATCAGCTGAATTCATATTGGGACCGGCGTCTTTCTCGCTTTGTATGCCATCTGCATTATCTAGCAGAATCGAGCCATCACAACCCTGCTCAAAGTAGATATACGAAATTACATCAATTTTCATATCAAATCAATCAGTTGAGCAATTTGCTCTGTTACTCATTCAGGCACAATCATATGGATTCATGAGAGGATGGGAAGAAATTACATCGACAAAGCAATCATGGAAATGGAGGCGAATAAGCTTAGCGCCAATTCGAACATCACTTTGTTGAGCCTGTTGTAATATATTACGAACTACATCCGACACATTTGAACACGAACTACTATAAAATGTCTCGGTCAATTGACTGTTACAACATAGTATGAACAACGATATCAAGAAAAAAACAGCTACTATTGCAAATCTTAACACAGACATTTTTAGGAAATACAATTTTTCTTTTTTCAAACTTTAGATTGAAAGAAATGATAGGGATAGGGGATGATTTTACTTCTCTGATTATAGCTATTTATATAGGAAGATAGTAACAGCAGGGGTGATGAGGTGGGAAAACAAGTATGCATGCATGGAAAGTTTTCTCTATGTATATTATTCAACTTAATAGAAACTTTACATTGGTACAATATAACCCATTTGGCCCCCATTCTATCCAAAATTTAATGGTTAGAATAGTATTTTTTTTTTAAATGTGTGGTCGAAAAAGAATGAAATTTTTTTATTTGCATGTAATATTATTTTATAGAAGACTGTGTAGTTAAAAATAAGAGAGAGAGAAATAATGAAAAGGAGAATGGGGGCCAAACGGGGGCTAAAGAATACTCAAACCGTGGAAGTATTCTGACTAATAAATATCGTCAAATCTTGAATAAATCTAAATGCTTTTTAAAGAATTACATTGTATAATTAGGTTATCTCTCTGTTTGGTATGGTTAAAAAGTATATAAAAATCTAAATCAAAGTCAAAAAATAATTTTAACAACAAATTTTATAGAAACCATAATTTTTCTCAACTTATGAACCACACATTTTATTAAGTTTTTTCTTAAAATATACTAAAAATTTGATTTTTGGTGAAATCAAACAGAGGCTTAGTATCTCCTCTTGAAATAAATATTAAATTGCTTGTGAAGCTTTAGGGTCCATTTAATTTACTTTTTAGCTTTTAGTTTTTAGATCATTTTTAGTTTTTTGCTTGGAATCTCTGCTTTAAAATTGCAAAAAATGCGTTTTGTCATTTTGAAAATTATTTCTCAAAACACAAAATTAGAAAAAACATTTAGTTTGAAATTTTGTTTTATGATATTTCATTTCATGAAATTTCATCATTAGTAAAAATAGAACAATTTTTATGTTAATATATTATCAAGTAATATATACATTTTAAAGTTGATATATCTTTACCATATTTTATTCTCACTGAAAAAGTAAAATAAAAATAAATAATAAATTGAGTGTAAAATATGGGAAATAAAAATAAAGATTAAACATGCTTACCTACCAAGAGTTAATTGTTCCAGCAGTAACTGTAATTATATCTATTCTTCAATTGCCATTAAAGTTTAAGATATTGATTTTTTGTCACTCAACCAAATGTTGGACATTACTCACTGGTACTTCAATTTGAAATCTAACGAAATTATGATGTGGCCAATGGAATGCATGTGTGGCGTCCCGTCACGTTGTTAAATTTTGAGGTGGTCGAATTTGGACCACTAAACATTGAAAAGCTTTTTCAATTGCTTACTAAACTTTGAAATGATCAAATTATGGATACTAAACTTTGAAAAACGTTTTCTATTGGATTTAGTTAAAATTCATAGTTAAAATTTGGATTAATATTTAAATTTAATTCAATTTTAACAACAAATTTATTGTACGTTTCGTTGTAATTAGTAGTTACTTCCTTTGTACAAGTTTTGCTATCGCTGTTGATCGCACGAATAATGATTACTAAATTACACAATAGTTGAATTTAAGTTTAACATATTTTTTGTAGAAATATTAAGAGAATTCATCATTTGCAAAATTTAAATTTATAGTGTATTTCGCTATTAAAATTAAATTAAATTTTGAATTATGCAATGAAACGAAAAATAAATTAGTTGTTAAAATTAAAACAATCCAAATTTTAATAACGAGTGTTAATTAATCCAAATTTATTGTAAGTAATAGATGACGTTTTTCAATGTTTGTGGCCGAAATAGATGTTTTTCAAAGTTTAGTGATCAAAATTCAACCACCACAAAGTTCGGTGGCTAAAACTCGACCACATCAAAATTCGGTGAGCAATAGAGGACTTTTTTTTTTTTTTTTAAATTAGTGAGAAATCATAAACGTTTTTCAAAGTTCAATAGCCAAATTTCAACTACCTCAAAGTTTAACGACTTGACGAGACGTCATATTTACATTTTGTTAGTTACGTCACCAATTCCGTTAAAAGTTTGAAATGAAAGTTATGTCAGTAAGTAACGTCCTAAACTTTAGTGAGCAATCGAAAACATTAACATACGTTCAGTGGCCATTGGAACAATAAACTCTACCTACCAGCAATATAAATTCATCGAATTTTGTTAATTATCGAAACTATATACAAGAAAGTCTAATGTAATAATTGCCCGAGAATTAGTAAAACTAGATAAAAGTCAGAAGATAACCCACCCCACGAGTACAATTTTCTCTTCAATATTTATCTTCAGGATCTGCATTAAGGAAGTCATCACTTCGTCAAAGGTAATCGGCTTCTAACAAAATGTGCAAGCATAAAAAGTTAATAAAGGCTCGTTTGGCATGAATTTTGAAAGATTAAAATAAAAGTTGCTTTTGAATATATTTGACAAATTTTATCAAAATGTTTCTTCTAATTAGTAAGCCTAGACAAAAAATTTGAAAAACCTACAAAATCGAACCGATTCGAATCGTTTTGGGTCATTTTGACATAAGTAATTGATTTGGTTGGATTTTTTAAAACAAAATCACTGTGGATTGGTTCCATCATGATTTGAAATTTCAAACCGTTGGTTAATCGAACCAATCCAACCTACTTACTTGTTTACCTTTTTTCCTTAAGAAAAATAAAATCAAAAGATAAGTCATAATCCCATAATTATATCTCGATACCCTCTAATTATAATGTCGCCGGTAAATAATAGCATTGTGAATCTCATTTCATAAGCTCATTATATTATACTTAACATTTTTTCCTTACTCAATCATTCAAGCTACGCAATACATAAAAAAATAATAACATTATTAATTTTTCTATTGATCTGTCTCTATTAACCTGATTTCATTTGTTAGTCAATGATTCTTGTAATATTAAGTTATTTTAATTCTTGTAATCTACGTTAGCCCAAAATTTGGACAATTATTATTATTATTAATTTTTTTTTTTTTTGTAAAACAATTCAATTTGGACAAAAAGTGCAAACCAACTAATCTAATGTTTAAGAGTTAAAGTATGTTGGTTTGGGTTGAAATTCACCCAAAAAAGGCTAATTTGGTTTTGATTTTGGGTTGGAGTCGAAATCGATCCTAACCAAACCATGATCAAACCTACTCGTTAGTAGAGCTTTTAGGAAAAGTTAGTCTAATGTAACTTCTTTTAAAAGCATTTTTGAAATAGGAAATTTTTTTCAAAATTAGTTTTCAAACAAAAATTAAGGTAACTTCCTCCAAAAATTCTTCTGCATGAAGTAAAAGTAAAAGCAAAAGTCCCAAGTTGGCCGTAAGCATTTGGGCCTATTATTTTCAATACTCAAAATAATTCAAAATGGATTTCTATTCTTAGCCTTCAATAGAATTAGAGTTTAGTATGATTTGGTTCAATTCGATTTGGAAGGTAATTAAATTGAGAACGAACGAGAAACTTATAAACGAAATTGTTAGTTTCTAGTCATGTTTGGGCTCTGTTAAAATGATTTTTGAGGAAAAATGCATTTGGAATAGTGATTTTTTGAGAATATGTAATTAAAAAATAAGAAAAAAATTTGAATTTACATGCAATATATTGTTTTATTGGAGAATATGTGGTTAAAAATAAGAAAAAGAAAAATATATTTTGACAAAAATAAAGCCCAAATAGGGGCTAATTTAATCATGGAACTGAATCTTTTGATTATTGTATTTTGTCAAAGAATAATGCTATTTAGTTTCATTAGAGTTATAATATCAGTTTATGTAGTGTTAGGTAATAGACTAAAAAAGGTACAATTAAATATACGATTTAACTTTACTTATAATTTAATGTTAAATTAACGTTATATAAACTGAAGTTATAATCCCAATGAAACTAAATAATATCACTCTTTGTCGAATTAGTTGGTGCGTAAATCTAAGTGGGTAGCTAGGAACATTCAAGTTGGCTGTTATAATTACTACCCATTTGGCATGGTTTTTTAAAAGTCAAAAAGAGCTTCTGAGATTCAAAAGTTGTTTTTGCACCATTTGACTAATTTTGTTGAAGTGTATTTGACAGTTAAAAGAGTTTTTAGAGGAATATAGTTCAATATGGCTTCCTCTAAAAGTACTTTTCGAAACGAAAAGTATTTTTAAAATTTAGTTTTCAAATAAAAATTAAGGTAGCTTCGTGATCATCTATAAGAAGCAAAAATTATACCAAACGGACTTTTAATGCATTTTGTGAATGTCCATAGATAATGTAGGTTCATGCTTGCATCCATGCATGCATGAATGCATGGTAGAAATTAAAAATTTTCAAAGGGGTTTCACATTGACAAGTCATTAGAATAAGTTGTATTTTAGTCTTCGACTTCTAGAATTAGACTTGCCTACTTTACTCCTTTGTCAACAACTTAGCTAGCTTAATAATGATATCTCATTATCATTTGTTTATGAAAATTGTATAGTGTAATTTTTCTTTATTTGACTTCTTCATGAGAAAGTAACAAAGAATTTGACATTTTATATGATACAAAAGAAAGAAATTGACTTTTAAATAAAAAAGTAATAAAGAAAGAAATTGACTTTTTAATGAAAAAGTAAGAATGCGCCTTTCTAATGAAAAAGTAAGAATGTAACTTTTTTATTCAATATATTTAAAATTATATAAATTTTTTTTTTTTTCCGAAGCATAATGTCTGAAACCGAGGTTGGGTTGGACGGTCATCAGCTACAGGCCCAATAATTAATGGCCCAATGAAGTTTTAAGTGAGAAGCCCATTTTTGAGGGCCTGAATTTATCGGATTAGCCCAATCTATATTTTAAGGCCTAGATCCAATAAAAATCAATTTCAGATCCGATTTCCAGAAAAAATCGCTCAGCGATTATGTTTATTTTTACATACACAGCGCGGCGAAAAATCTTGAGATAATTTGTAGTTTTTCATCAATTTCAAATTTAACTTTCTGGATACGCATCAAGTTACGAAATTTTCTTGTTTCTACTTTTAGTATTGTAGTGTTATTGTTTTGCTTGGACATTTGGAGTTTTTACGAATCTGTGGATTTATATATCAATAAGATAGGTGGTGGAAAAATGGATGATCCTTCAATAGCAGCTGATGAAATTCAAGCTCCTGGTAAGTTTCACTAAACTTTTTGTTTCATTTTTCATGAATTTTCAGATAATATTATTGATTTTGACCTCAATTTTTCCAAAATAAATAAATAAGAGAAAGAAAGAAAAAAGAGGAATTGTTTAATTATGTTTTCTAATTTATGGGGCATGAAAAAATGAAAGACTGACATTCTGAATTTTGAATATCGTTACTGTTAATTCTTTTGTTATGGTTGAGCTTCAAATCTTAACCTGGGACACAATCAAACACAATAATAAACCAGAAGTAAAATAAACTCAACGCCCAATGGATTAATTGAAGCCACTGATGTTTACACTATGAAATGAGGACAATACACTGGAGAAGAAGAAAAAATAGAGGAATAGATAATCCGTGAGAGAAATTACGCATAACAATCTCTCTTTCCCTCGTTGGATATCTTAGATATAACAGATCTCAAAATCGTGCAACAAAGGAAACAAAACATGTTTGTCCATTTACAGTTTTAGACTCAAAAATCAAAACGACAAAGTATCTCATTTTCCAAAATCAGTTGGCCATTGTAACCTCGTCTTCTTCCTTCTTCATTGGTCTGGTACTTCTCTTCCCTTTTCCTCCCCAGCTCGGTTGTTCCTCTCTCTTCGTGCCATCACCATAACATCCCTCCCCCTTCGAATAACCTTGTCCCCAAGGTTGAAAATTTGGGAAAGTAGCCTTTATTTCATCTGCTCTCTCCCACGTAGCGTGTGGTTGAATGTGTGTTCGCTTGCCCCTTTAAAATTCCGACATTGCACCAGTTGGAACTTCCTTCTCCCCAATTTTCTTTTTCAGTAGAGGGACATGAAAAATAGGATGGATTTGAGATGCAGCAGGTAACTTCAGTTTATAGGCCACCTTCCCAACCTTCTGCACTACCTTGTAAGGGCCATAATACTTTACGGATAGCTTCTCGTTGGATCTCCTTGTTACAGTTTGCTGAGCATATGGATGAAGCTTTAAATATACCCAATTCCCAACTTGGAATTCCTTTTCACTTCTATGTTGATATGCATAATGCTTCATCCTGGCATTGGCTTGGGCAAGGTTCTCTTTTAGCATTTTATCTATCTTCTGCCTTTCTTGCAAAATATCTTCAACTGAAGCAATGTTAGTTTGCTGATAGGGCCCCAAGGCTAGTTTGGGGGTTTGATACCATATAAGACTTCAAAAGGTGCCATTCGAATAGAGGTATGCAGGGTAGTGTTGTACCAGCATTCAGCTAGGCTAATCCACTTAATCCATTGTTTTGGTTGCTTGTAAACCATGCATCTTAGGTACATTTCAAGGCATTGGTTCAGTATTTCTACCTGCCCATCAGTTTATGGGTGTTAGGCTGTGCTTAACTACAATATGACCCCCCAAGTGTCCAAACAATGCCTGCCAAAACTCACTTATAAATATCTTAATTCTGTTCGTAACAATGCTGTGAGGCATTCCATGCAACTTGTAGATGTTATCCAGGAATAACTTGGCGATGGTTGGGGCTGTGAATGTATGTGAGAGAGTTAAGAAATGAGCATATTTGGTGAACTTGTCCACCACCACGAATATCACATTCTTTGATCCAGAAGTAGGTAGCCTTTCAATGAAGTCCATGGAAATGTGGCTCCAAGCATATTGTGGTATTGGTAGGGGTTGAAGTAATCCTGGGTAAGCTACATGTTCCCCTTTAACCTTTGGCACGTGTCACACTCCAACACCTCTTGTTTAATGTCCCTGTTCATTCTAGGCCAAAAGAAGAATTGCTTAGCCCTGTGTATACTTGCCTGTATTCCTGAATGCCCCCTTCCTGCAATGAGTGTATGGCTGCAATTAGCTTCTTCCTTATTCCTCCCCCAGTACCAATATACATCCTTGACTTGTATTTGAGAAGTCCATTTAGGTACTGGTATTCTGGCTCCATGTCTTAGAGAGTAGCACATCAGTGATTTTACCTTCCGTGTCTTTATCTCGTTTATAGCTAGCTATTACTTCTTCAACCTACATTGGAGTGACCTTAGTGATTGCCAAGCATTCAGACCCCTTTTCTTCTCTCCTGGACAAGGCATCTGCCACCTTGTTATCAACACCCTTCTTATAATGTATTTCATAACTCAGTCCCAAGAGTAAATGATAGCCACTTCTGCGGTATTGGAGTAGTGATCCTTTGCTCAAGTACTTGAGTGACTGATGATCTATCTTAATGATAAAGTGGTGACCTTCTAAATAGTGCCTCCACTTTCCTACCTCAGTCACCAGAGCTAGCAGTTCCTTCTTATAAATTGATAACACCAAATTCCTGTTGCCAATTCCTTTGTTTAGGTAGGCTATTGGCCTTTTTTTTCTACATCAACACTGCACCTAACCCCCACATAGCATGCATCCGTTTCCACAATGAACGGGATAGAGAAATATGGTAAAGCCAGTATTGGGGTAGTACTTATAGCATCCCTTAATTCTTGAAAAGCTGATTCGGCAGCCTCCTCCCAATGGAAATTCTCCTTCTTTAGTAATTCAGTTAGTGGATTGGCTATGGCTCCATATTTCCTTACGAGCCTTCTGTAATACCCAGTTAAGCCAAGGAATCCTCTTAACTATTTAACATTGGCTAGCTTAGGCCATTTCTGCATTGCCACTATCTTAAGAGATCTGCTGACACTCTCTCTGCAGATACAATGTGGCGTAAGTACTCTATGCAAGATTGGCCAAAAGAGCACTCATTCATCTTATTATACGATTGGTGTTGCTTTAAAAGTTCCAAGACAACAACATGCTTACAATGAGTCTTCAAGTTTGGGCTGTATACCAGTATATTATCAAAAGATACCAAGATGACTTGCCTAAGATGCTACTTGAATGCTACGTTCATTTGACATTGAAAAGAGGCAAGGGCATTTGTAAACCCAAATGGCATGACCCTGAATTCATAAAGACCCTCACGGGTTTTAAAAGCTGTCTTGTGGACATCTTCTTCAGCCACCCTGATTTGATTGTATCCTGCTCTTAGGTTGATTTTTGTAAACCACTTTGCCCTTTTAAGTTCATCCAGCAATTCATCAATTAAGGGCATAGGGTACTTTTTCTTGACTGTGAGGATGTTCAACTGTGAGGATGTTCAACTCCCTATAATCAACACAAAATCTCCATGTCCCATCTTTCTTCTTGACCAATGACACAGGTGAGGCATAAGGGCTGTTGCTTGGTTGTATTATCCCACTTTCTCTCATCTCCCTAGCCATACTTTCAATCTTTGCTCTCTAAATGTATGGGCACCTGTAAGGCCTGATTTTAAAGGGCCGAGCCCCTTCTTTCAATGGAATATGATGGTCATTGAACCTAGAAGGTGGTAACCCTTTAGCTTCTAAGAAAACCATAGGAAATCAATCTTTGCTCTCTGAATGTATGGGCACCTGTAAGGCCTGATTTTAAAGGGCCGAGCCCCTTCTTTCAATGGAATATGATGGTCATTGAACCTAGAAGGTGGTAACCCTTTAGCTTCTAAGAAAACCATAGGAAATCAATCTTTGCTCTCTGAATGTATGGGCACCTGTAAGGCCTGATTTTAAAGGGCTGAGCCTCTTCTTTCAATGGAATATGATGGTCATTGAACCTAGAAGGTGGTAACCCTTTAGCTTCTAAGAAAACCATAGGAAAATGATCTACAATAGCTTTAAGTTTAGCAGGGATGACCTCTGTCTCTTTCTCAGTGATGGCTGTGATTTGTGCTACCACTTCATACGCTTGGTTCTTGAACCAACATCCCTTCCTAGTATCAATCATCATGTGGAATTATTCCTTAATGACTTCACTCTGGAGTTCCATCTCTATACCTTTTCAAGTAAAGGTAATGCTGCCCCTCAGAAAATCAAATAACACAGGGTTGAACTGACTCAGCCAATGGACCCCCAAAACCATATCACCGCCTCCTAATTTCAATTCTCTCAGCTGGCATTGAAACTCCAAATCTTGCATCTTCCATATCAGTAGATTACAAACTGCCTTACTGATGAGTTTTTCATCTCCTGCCACGGTAACTGAAGTAGGTGTTGCTGGCTGCATCCAGTAGTTGATATTTTTTGCCAAGATTTCATTAATGAAACTGTGGGTACTCCCACTATCAATTAATATAGACACTTTTCTCTTTTTGATCATCCCTGGTAGCCTCATGGTTTTTGCTCTGTTGCTGCCCTTCAATGCATAGATGGAGATTTCCATTATCTCCTCTTTTTCCCCTTTCTCCATCTGATCCATTTTCTCCCTTGGAGGTTCATCTAACTCCCCTTCTACCTCTTCATCCACCAATATGAAATTGAGCATCTTATTTTTGCACACATGACCCCTAGTATACTTCTCATCACATTTATAACATAATCCTAACTCCCTTTTTTTGGGAAGTCAGAGGGGGTGATAGCTTTAAATTTCAGTGGATTGGTGGAGTTCTTTGGGTTTGGTTCGGTGTAAGGTGTAGGTTTAGTTCGAGGTTCATTTGGTTTAGGATTGGGGTGAGACCATTTTGTTTGGGGATATGCTTTAAAGGTTTTTGGACCTCTATTAAGGGCTATGATGGTATTTTCTTGAAGTAAAGCAATCTCGAAAGCTTTGGCTAAGGTTGGGGTTGCATAATTTTAACCATGGATTTGATCTCATCCTTCAAACCATTGATGAATATAGAAATATAGTAGGATTCTGGTAAGTGAGGTAGGGAAATCATCACTTGGGATTTCAATTCTACAAATTGTTCCTGATATTCTGTAATGGTTCCTCCTTGCCTCAGTTTGCTAAAGGTTTCTATTACTTCTTCAGCCCTGTTTTTTTGCAAATCTCCCTGGAAAACATGCCCCAATCAGCATTAGGATGGCTGGACATAAAGCCATAGAACCATATGTCTGCCTTTCCTTTGAGATATATCTCAGCTATGCCCAACTTCATTTCATCCTCTACTTGATGGATCTGGAAATACTTGCTTGCCTTCCTCAGCCATTAAATTTAAATAAATAAACACATCTCTTCTAACATCTATGACGTGGTGAACATTAAATTTAAATAAATAAACACATCTCTTCTAACATCTGAAGCTCTTAAACAACGTAAGCTCATCACAACTATCGAGTTTTAGGCTAACAAAGCCCACAACATAGCTGCCAATATGAACAGAGATAGCACATAAGAAGACAATTGGACGGAAGGCAATTTTAATAGATCTTTTGGAGTTGGATGAAATTAAATCTACATCACGGCTTAAAATGCTGCCGCATATACATACAAAAGCATCTTACAAGATCAATAAATATGATCTCCATAACTTGTGTTTTGCAATGAAGAATTTGTAATAGAATAGGCGTTTCAGCCTCCAACGCCCTACTCCTTGTTTCGGGAGGATCTGTCTTTCCTGTGTCCACCAAGAATACGAGAAATCTGAAGACCTCTACTGAAGGCTTGGTTGAACAACATTCGAGTTTGGAATTCTGAAACGAATGGAAACCATGCAAGAAAAGCAACTGGCGTGAATAGAAGCAAACCCATCAAAATTTCATATCCACGAGCTAGTGTTCGTACAGATCCCCAGAATCCAGCTCTTTGAACAATAGGCTTACATGCTTGGGCAATCTGGAAGAAATCAGAAGCAGACAATAAAGAATCCTAGCCTTCCAGTTTTACAAAAGATTACACGGAAGAAACAATTAATCCCATTGACAATGGAAGGAAAAGACATAAGAGAGAGTTGCCTCAGCTTACATGAAAGAAACTATTAGCATAAACACTCAATGAATAAACACACGCACTAAAATGCAATTTTCCTCCCATATGTTTCTGAATGAATGCAATTTAACAGTCGGGAATAAGTTCAGTTATCTCATAATTCAGTAAGCACTAAGAAATCGATTTTTTATGGAGCAATGAAGACATCTTGCAACTAGTGGTGTAAATTGTCACAGGTTGTTAAGAATATAATGTTGAATTGGGAAGAATTTGTTCAAGTAACTATCAAATATATACCATGAAAAAGTGCAAGAGCAGGATAAAAACATCACTCACCAGAAGTAAACCCCAACCAGTTGGCATGAAGGCAAGTATGCAAACAACAATGTCCAGCGGTGTCATGTGAGGGAGTGCAATCAAAATAGCCAGGATAGAGACAAAGGTGACAAAGATCAAACCCTTGATAAGCCGGAACACAAGTTGAAAATTTGCACTGAATTTTCTTCGTCCAACCGAAATTGTCTGGGGTAGAAATTAAAAATTATAAAATCATAATCTGCGCACTACGTGTTAGATAAAAAGCCAAGAAAAGCTGAAGGTAGCCAAATATTAGGAGGAAAAAACTGAGTTTTATCTGGAGCTACCAATATTGCTCTACCAAACTGAATCCCCTGGAATTTATTTACAGTCTAGAACATTTTTCATACAATCCCCAAATTCTTCAAATATAAAAAGTAGGCCAAGGAGAAATGCTCAAAAAAATTTCTCAAATAACCTGCAGATACAGACATTCTGAGAAAATAGGAAAGGAAGTCATTTGAAATTTTCCTCAAAAATTTATTAACAATTTAGAGTGATGCATAGCCCCTGTTCCATAGAAATTAAAGTCCAGATTTTAATCTAAGCCAAAAATCAACAATTAATTTTAACCACACATTAGGGCTCTCAACTTTTCAACCACACATTTCATCAACTTTTATCAAAATTTACTAAAAATCTGATTTTAATCCCCCACCAAACAGGGGCATAAGATCGATCGCTGAAAAGTTGGCAATTTCCAACACAAATAATTACCTTATTAATCTACTTATATTAGAGTAAATGAAGTGCTATTGTTCAAACTACACATTTGTATTTATGATTCTCCAATAATGATTAATGAGTAGTAAAGAATCATCATCACCTTCATGACAAAAAGAATTAGCAAGATCACCAGCCACGATATTCCGTATACCTGTAAACCAAGCAGATATTTAACAAAAGGTTACAGATGAATCTAACAATTATACTCAAAAGAGTATAAATTCAAGAACATGAAGGAACTACAAGCCACAGCCTACCAGAAAGCTTTTGGTTTTCTTGGTGATGTTTAGGTGATAAACAAGCCCATACTGATAAATGAAAAACCGAAGCGATAATATAATCTCAGTGATAATACCACGTGCCCCACAATGACGAAGATGGTCTTGTTCCTCTTCCCACCATGATTCCCAACTTTTTTCTGAAGGGACACCAATACCTCCTCTGTTGCCTATCCACTTGTTCCAATCAGTCCAATCGTCAACTATCTTTTGCCACTCAAAACCAGAAGGGTTGAACAGAAAGGGTGCAAAAAGCCAGGTGCCGACCATAAACCACATCGATACAGTGATTAAGATATATGCAACAGCACCTCTATAGGATTGACCAAAAATTTGATAAACAAGAAGAAGTATCATTAATTCAAGGCCCTTGACAAAATGACTACGAGAGTAGAGGCGATAGTTATCAGCAAATTTGGCATGAAACACCACAAATCCACGGCCTGTCGGCCTATATTTTGCACCTCCATGAAGTAATGTCCTACCATAATAATGGGTCTTTGTTCCAAGAGAGAAAGTGAAAAACACCGGTGCCAATTGTAACTGCATCAGTATGAATTCACTCAATGCTGTCCGAAAACCCTTTTCCAAGCCTATTTCCATCATCATAGGAAGGGCCATTAAAACTCCAATTTGTACAAAAGACTGAGAAGCCAGAGCAACTTGGAGAGGCTTATTGTCTCGAATTGCCGGTTGGTTACTTAACCCTTCTTCAAGACCACTAAGGACAAGATAAAGACGCCCGTAAAGAAATACATACACGGTGAGCACAGTAATCTGCCACAAGAAACACACTAGGTGAAAATACCATACGCAATTCAGTATTCAACTACAAGAGTGCAATCTGGATCACATACCAAGGTACTGAAGTAGAAACCAGTGGTAGTGAAATAGCATGACAACATTCGAAAGAAATCAAAACGATGCCCCAGTCGATATAAATCACGACTCAATGTTTGTTCTCCATTGCCATTGGCTATTTTTGCCTCAAATAGAGAAATCTGATTAAGACCAACATCCCTCCCTTTCCCAACTTGTATATATTCATGATGGGTTACATTGCCTTCACGAAGTGTAGAATTAAAGCCTGCATTTGAAGTTACAGAGTAGCATTCAACCTAAGTCACACAACAAAATTTTAAAAGCTAAAGAATAACCCACAGAATGAGCATACCAGCAAATATGTCTTCGCTGAGATTGATAACCTTCGAGGCTTTACTAACCCCACCTCTTGTAAGGTGAAATATTCTATCGAAAACATCCGGATGACCATAGTGAAACCGAACCCTACATGAGCAAAGGGAATGTGAAGTAAAGGAAATTTACAGCATTGAGAAAAGAAGGCAGCATATAGGTTCCCCAGGCCAAAAAGAGTGCAGCTTTAGCATATGCCCATGCTAAAAAACAAGGATAACTTCAGAATGAAGCAGAAATTCATCAGACCATAAATGTGAAATGTTCTATCTTAAAGTTCAGTTGCTACAATGTGATTGTGATTGTGATTGTGATTGTGATCGTGATCATTTAGATCCATGCAGAGTACATATGATTATGTTATAATCAACCATAGCACCATTAAACTTGATCTATATACCATGAGGAAAATTAAGTATATACCATGACGAAAATTAAGTACTTGTGCAAAATTTATTTGGCAGAACTTTAAGATCTACAAGGAAAGCATCATATATGATTTTATCACTTGTAGAGAATATCAAGGATGGCAACTACAGACATTGGTAAATTCTATCTCGCTGTCTCCTCTCTAGGATGGCGACTTCTCCCCCAACATCCAAAACCAAACAACCAGACACTTCCACCGGTTTGGGCATCCTCAAAGCAGTGATTGGACCCACCAAATCCACCGGCCTCGCACTACAAAGATACAACCCCTCCTACCCACAGGCGGCAGTCAATCCTAGCGACGCTGCTCGTAGATTTGGTGTCGACGCGATCGGTGATGGGGATATAGAGGCTCCAGGTGACCCCATCTACTGAGTCAAAAGAAAATTCACGGATCCGATGAGAGGCGAACCAAAAGGTCACACTCCATTCACTTCCAATCCGACCAATATCAGGACCCACGCACCTTACTGGTCAGCTGTGTAGATCATTCCGACCATGACCAGGCCGTCATCGAGTGGATGCGCCATTTCGACAGCGAGTTCGCTGGCGCGTGATACCCATGTGCTGATGCTGGAAAATGCGCAGAACCACCACGCAGCGTCCAGACCAACTAGCACGGCTATTTTTTCATCAACCTCGTCGATTTCACAATATCAGATGAAACAGCCCTATGCCACAAGGTTGATAGTTTGCAGTTCTCGATTTAGAGTAGAGGCAAAGGAGTTCGTAGTGTCTGTTAATGATTCAGGCATTGTTAAGTTGTCGGACTAGGGATCGAAGATATCGAACACAATTTGCATGGGGAGATTTGAAGTTGTTTGGATGGTTAATAAGGTGGAAAAGCTGAGGGTAACAGGCAAGTTGGAGATTGTCGCCAAGTTTAATAAGCCTCCTTGAGCTTTTTGACACAACGATGTGCCAAAAGCAGCCGAAAGGAAGTTGTGATGGTGCCAAAAGGTGCAAATGGAGAGGGATGGGCATCGATTTCGCGAGTGTTCCAAGCAGTTATCGACTCCTTTGTTGCCAGCGATAAGGGAAAATGTAGAACATATGACAAAAAGAGATGAAAAGGGATATATTTTGCCGGAGTTACGGCAAACTTACAAGCTTCACAGTACACCGATCAAGGAGTAATGATGCGTGACGAACGAGCGATTAACGAGGGGAGTGATTCACGCGAGAAGATCTCAGGATCTTACAAGGAAGGTCATCTAATGGCGCACAAGTCTAAGAAAATGAATACAAAAGGTATATGTGATAGTATTTTCAATAGTGATGGAATAAGGAATCACATCAAGTCATTGAATGGAGAATTGGATGAATTAACAAGGTTACCGGATAGTGGGTATGTAGTCGGCCTTAGGAAGAGTTTGTCATACGTGTGGGTAGGGCTTAGATGAGTATACAACCAATGGAAAATTGAGCAAAGCGGCGAGTCTCAAGCGTAGACTATAGTGGTGGAGGTTGCACCTTTGGCCAAAGAAAGGGAGCCAAGTATGTTGAATTTGGAGTCGGGGATATTAGATGTAACTAACGATAATTGGTCAATATTGGGTGCGTTGGATAAAAATTCAGTGGAAGGATTAGTGACGGCAACGGAGTTAGAGACCAAAGTTGTATTAGCAGACAAATCAGCGTCGACAATTGAGAAACAGGATGGAATGACAGGTTCACCAACTATGGTAGGGAACACCTACTGCAGGAGATATTCAAAGTCTCTAAACGAGGATGACTCAGGGAATGATAAAGCTTTGGTGGTGTGAGTTGATGACCCGAGAAGGAGAATATAGACAGTGGAGTGGTGCAGATGGAGGTAGACGAGGGACACCACTATGACCCTCTCTATGCTGAAGACATAGTGAAAGTTATGGCACTTGAAGTTAAACTGCCATCAAATTGGGTTCTTCAAAAAAATTTGGATTTCAATAAGATGGTAGGTGTGTCTTGATGGGTATGAAAATAGGCTCTTGCAATTATTTGAGGAATTTGAGGTTAGTAGGGGACGAGTAATGGGTACACTAGAAGGTAAGACAAGAAGAAAGGGAAATGATGAGCTTAAGTGGCTTGAATGCTCAGTTAATTATGACGTCAAGGATGGAGAGCCAAGAAGAGGATCGAGGGAGGGGGGATATTGAAGTGTCAAGTTGATTCCAAATAAATTAGTTGGAACGTAAGGAGCCTAAATGAAGCTGGGAAAAGGTTAGGTGTTCAAAATTTGTTAAAGGATGGAGGACTGACCTTGTATGCTTATAGGAAACAAAGTCGTTTCGAGGGCTATCGTGAGTTGCTTATGGGGGGCAACATGTTGGGTATCAGTTTGTAGGGTCTTCAGAGGCTTCAGGAGGTGTGCTAGTCATGTGGGATATTAGAGTCTTTGACATGGAAGAGGTTAGTAAAGAGCTATTTTCTCTATCGCTATTGTTTAGAAATATTGGGAATAGTTTCCACTGGATGTTTATAGGAATTTATGGGTCGAATGATGATGAAAGTAGAGGTGGATTGTGTGATAAGTTAGCTGCCATGATGATACCCAGTTTTTCCATAGGGTTGCTAATTTCAACAGGCATAACAATTCCATCACTATGTTAGGGGTCGATGAATTTACTTATGAGGATCCATCGGATATTAGGACCCATATGGTGAATTTCTATAAAAAATCTTTATCGAGAACAATGTGATTGGAGGCCGCAGTTGGAGCTAGATCTTTCCACTGGCTTGGTGGAACCTCCTAACGTGTATTGGGGGAGATTTTAATGTGAGTCGATTTCCTACAGAAAGGTCTAGTGGTGGTAGATTAACAGGGGCTATGAAGGACTTCTCAGATTTTATCAGGGAGAATAGGTTGGTGGACTTGGCTTTGATTGGAGGAGAGTTCACATGGTCATCTAATCGGGAACTTGCTCTATCTTAGAATAAATCGATTTTTGGTTAGTGTGGAGTGGGAGGCTAGGTACCCAGAGGTCACTTTGAGGAGACTTGGGGGGTTGTATTCAGTTCATTTCCCTATTTTGTTATCTAGGAATGTGAGATGGAGGGGACAAAGGCCTTTTAGGTTTGAGAAAATGTGGTTGAAAGTGGAATGCTTCTAGGAACAAGTTCGGACATGGTCGGCATCATATGATTTTAGGGGGTCTCCCAGTTATGTGTTGAATCAGAAATTGAAGGCGTTGAAAAGAGATCTAAAGAGTTAGAATGAGGAGGTGGTAGGAGATGTTAACTGCTGTAAAAATCAATGTTTGTCAGATAATGAAGAGTTGGATAGGAGAGAGGAGAGTTGAAGATTGGTAGGGGATGAGAAAGAGAGACGGGGAAAGCTAAGGGGAGAGTTGGAGAGGTTGGTGAAGATAGAGGAGATTGCTTCATACCAGAAATCTAAGGTCAAGTGGTTGAAAGAAAGGGACAAATGCACCCAGTTTTTCCATAGGGTTGCTAATTTCAACAGGCATAACAATTCCATCACTATGTTAGGGGTCGATGAATTTACTTATGAGGATCCACCGGATATTGGGACCCATATGGTGAATTTCTATAAAAAATCTTTATCGAGAACAATGTGATTGGAGGCCGCAGTTGGAGCTAGATCTTTCCACTGTTATTGCGAAGGATGCCAATTGGTTAGAGAGATTAGGGAGGATGAGATTAGGGAGATGGTGTTCAACATGAATGACGATAAGGTCTGAGGACCAAATGGATTCTCTTTCTCATTCTATAAGACTTGCTGAGAAGTGGTGCGACCGGATATTATAGATGTCCTTGCCTATCCCTTTTGAGTGTGGCAGGTTCTTGAGAAGTTCTAATGCTACATTTACAATGCCGATACCGAAGAAACCAAGAGTGACGAATATCAAAGACTTCTGTCCTATAAGTTTAGTAAGCAAGGTGTACAAAATTATATCGAAGATTTTAGATATTAGACTAAGTGGTGTCTAAGTTTCAAGATGCTTTTGTCAAAGGGCGTCAGATATTGGATTCAGTACTTGATAAATGAATGCATTGACTCAAGACTGCGTCTAGGGGTTCTAGAGATGCTATGTAAGCTTGATATTCAAACGGCCTATAACGACATGAACTGGGTTTCTATTGTATATGCTCAGGCGCAAGGGGATAGTGGTACAAGTGGATTTAGTTTTGTATCTCTAGGGTTTCTTTCTCAGTTCTGGAGAATGGCACTCCCAAGGGTAATTTTTAGAGTAGCAGAGGTTTGAGACAAGGAGATCCTTTGTCGCTATTGTTGTTTGATATCATAATGGAGGCTTTCAGTTTGATGCTGGAAAAGGCTATGGGGGAGAGTTTGTTAAAAGGCTTCATGATTCATCAACTACGGGTATCTCACTAGTTATTTGCCGACGATACACTGATCTTCTATGATGCAAACTTCGAGCAATTCAGGAACTTGCGCTATTTGCTTCTGTGTTTTTAAGCTGTTTCTGGATTGAAAATAAATCTGGGGAAATCCAAGCCTATCTCAATAGGAGAATTCGATAAAGTAGGAGAATTGGCTGATGTATTGGGTTGTAAGGTTGCTCAACTGCCTATAACTTATCTTAGGCTCCCTTTAGGAGCACGGTTTAAAAGTATACATATATGGAACTTATTGTGGAAAGTGTGCAGAGGAGGTTAGCGGGTTGGAAGAGCATGTACCTTTCCAAGGAAGGCCGTCTTACTCATTAAGTCCACTCTATCAAATCTCCCTACTTATTTCTTGTCATTGTTCCCGATTCCTGTTGCGGTGGCAAAAAGATTAGAAAGGATTCAAAAGGAATTTCTTTGGGGAGGATTAGGGAAGTAAAGGAAATTTCACTTGGTCAATGGGGAGAAGTTTGCTCTCCCAAAAGCTTGGGGGGATCTCGGATTAAGAAGCATTATATTATTTAATATGGCCTTGTTAGGTAAGTGGTTGTGGCGATTCGAAGTGGAAAGGGCTAGTTTTTGGAGAGAAATTCTAGGGGCGAAATACGGTGTTATGGAGGGAGGATGGTGCTCAATCAAAGGTCGTGGTTCTTATGGAGTGAGCTTATGGCGGTATATACAACGAGGGTGGAGTGACTTTTGGGAGAGAGCGACTTTTGTGGAGGATGGTAATATTATCAATTTTGGGAATGATTGTTAGTGTGGAGATCAACTGTTAAGGGGTGGGATTTCCTTGCATTGTATTGTTGTGGAGCTGTTTACTAGGTTGAATAAGATCTTAGATATACACAATGGGGGTCTTAGCTAGAACATTATTTTTGGAAGAGGTTTACAGGATTGGGAAGTTGATGATTATGCGCCGCTCGACTTCTTTGTATGAGGTACACATTAGGGTAGGAGAGGGTGATCGTAGCAGATGGGGGGCTGACACGAAATGGCATATTTTCGGATGTCACTTATTTTAAATCCTTATTGAGATTCGCGGAGAGTTCATTCCCTTGAAGGATGGTATGGCAATGTAAAGTGCCTCCACAAGTGGCATTCTTATTATGGACGATTGTCAGGAGATAGGTGTTAACAATAGACAATCTCCGAATAAGGAGTCTGTATGTTATAGAGTAGTGCTATACGTGTAGGAGGAATGGGAAGACAATTGAACACTTACTCCTCCATTGTGATGTTGCTTGTTTGTTGTGGAACGAGATTCTGGCCATGCAACACATAGATTGGATGATGCCGAGGCGAATAGAAGATGTGTTAAAGGCATGGAGGAGAAAGCTTTTCGATAAGGATGGCAAGATTGTTTGGAACCTCATTTCGGGTTGCATCATATGGTGTGTGGAGAGACGGTCGGTGTTTTGATGATCAGACAGCAGAGGAGTGTAGAGAATTATTTTATTTGACAATTTATACTTGATTTAATGCTGCGGCTACAAGTCATAAAAACAGAATATCCAATTTCGTGTTGTTTCTTTCTTGTTTAAATTGATAATACACATTCTGCGTATTATATTTTGATAATAACATATTTGATTGCCTATAAAAAAAAAAATCAAGGAAAATAACGCAAAATATTCAAACACAATTTTACCATGAAAGCAATTTTTGGCACAATACTGGCAGAAAAATAAACTTTTGGATATTATAATTCTTTCTGAGAAATAAATTTATATTACAGTACGATGAGAATGTCCAAGTAGATGAAAGCTTGAAGAAATATGACATCTTGAAAATCATTGAACAAAATTTATATCGTAGAATAGACAAAGTCAAACAAAGGATACATGTCAACAAGTGGAGATAGCACCATTTTATAATAAATTAAGGAAATGTCAAAAAACAAGGTTTGGAACTGTCCTCCATAAGCATAAAGAAGTCCTCATCCACAATTCAGATTTAAATCAAGACAGCCTAGTTTAGTTTTAAATCCAATTAGAATTCTTGATGCTATAACTATAATAATTTGTGCATCACATAATGTCATAGTTCTCAACCAAAACTAACAGAAAGTGGCAGTACAGACATAGGCATAATGGAAAATATATTTCTAGCATCTGCATTGAGATACACATGATGCACCGGAAAATTCGAGAGAAGGGGAGTTGGTGGAAAAAGAAGTCTTACTTCAGAGGATTGGCCAATAGTCTCTGACCAATGGTGACAAAACTTGTCTCTTGATTTGACATAAACCAAGCAAGAGATGAAACACTGCATCACATAGTAAGGTGTGAAGTGGTGTATACAATTTGAGCCAGGATATGCTATATATCACTAAGTGCATACCTTCCAGTAAATATATGTTCCCTCAGTCCAAGTATTGATGGGTATGTCACGTCATCATGCTTTTTAAGAAATTCTTCAAGTAAGTTTCTCATTTTTAAAGCTTCTTCCATGTAGTTATCCTACGGATGGATATTTCATGTCAGCACCCAGAAAGAGAGAATTCAAAGTGAAAACATTTTGACAACACTACACCTGATTCATATCTATTGTTTGCAAACCTTCACCACGGGTGAAGATAATGGCATGATTCTGGTTTTCAGGCTTGCCCTCACCCAAGATGGCAGGTCCAGGAAGTTTTATATGATAAATAACCTACAAAAGGAAATCCATAAAATCAGTTAAAAATCTGCAGCATAACTTATGGTAAATCAACATATATGTGTGTGTGAAATATATAAAATTTCTTTGCGTGCTAGTGTCTATAAGAAAGATCCAATAGTGTAAGAGCTACAACGAGGAAATAACAAAGCAAAAGAAGTGTATTCATATCTCCTTGATGATTCGCCATCTTTTCTTCAATTCATTGTCTGTACTGCTGTGCCCTTACTATAGTGTAGAGATTATGACTTCTTATGTTATGAGTAACTTACTATTTCACCTTCAAGAATTGACTTCTATTTCATTTCTCTTTTACCTCATCTAGACTCTGTCCCGACTCTGAAGATTTTGACTTCGGCAAAGCAGCCTTCACAAGAGTGGAATAGTACACCTTATCATTAACTTTTTTGGACCTGTCTTTGCTTGGTTCTTCAACTTCATCAATGTAGGCTACTCGAAGAGATGGATACCTGTTAAAGGAAATCCATAAATAGGTCATAACAACAATAAGACAACAACATGATCAATATCAGGCACTTACGTTGTCATAAGTCGTAATATATCTTGTGCACGAGGATCGCCAGATCTTTTCTGAATCCCATATAACTGGCACGATACTACATATGTGAACTTCATATCAGCCACTGCTTGACATTGTGCCCAAAGTGACCTCTCTCCCTTCATCTGATCCTCATTCAACTCAATGGCCTTATAGCCTTCCATTAAATCTGTTCGAAAGACAAACTATAACGGTCAATATCACAGAGTTCTTTACTACATCACTGAAGTGCTAGCATTGCAAAAAATCTGCACTTCTTCAAAGATGCCAGCATGCAAGAGGGAGTTACCATCATCCTTGGCCATATCAAGGAAGGCTTGAAGTTCAAGAGCTTTGCGATAATACATCATGCCCCTTACTGTCATAAATCAGATAATATCACTCCATAAAATTTAAACATTGGGAAATTAACAATCTCCTTAAAATAAAACACACTTCAATGCAGGAGGCACTTTCCAAAATGACTTATTAACTCAACAGAGGCAGCATAAGCTGTCAAAAGATTTGGTTTGGCATCTATGGTTCCATGTTAAAATAGGTGAAACCTTTTATAGCACAAAAATTGCAGACTGTCGCCTTGTATCCTAAGTTACCCACTAGATGTGGACAAGTTTGTATTAATGTTATCAGCTATGTTGCTTGGACTTAGGCGTGGGTATCTGGTATAGGTACATATCTAGGAATCAAATCCCTTTTTTCCTAAAATTCACAATTTGGGGACAAGGCTAAAAAGTCTCCCTTTGTATTTTATCAAGCCTAGATGTGAAACATACATTACCAAAATAACAAAAATGATATAAAGGATCCCAGAAGGATCCCATAGCCTTATCTAGCCTTATCATGTGTGTCCAACACAGGTACTTCCTCTAAAATGATGAGTTCGAGCAACAAAGGTTATCTGATTGTGCCATGTTACGCATATAATAACGGATAATGTTTGTGCCAAGAATTGCCAACCAATTTTGTGTTGAGCTCCTCTGGCTGGCATGATAAGAAAATAAGTGAATCCAAATTGCCACACCTACTTCATTCTCAGGCATTGCAATCCCCTTACAGAACCTCCAACAATCCCGTGAATATTAGAGGCGTGTGATTTACAATAAATTGAAAGGTTTCTTTGTATAATTAGTTTCCTTGTTTAGATAAATTTACTTTGTACAGCTAGGGTTTCCTTGTATATAATTGTAAACCCCTATATATATGAAAGAAGGTTAGGAAGAAGGTCTATCGAGGTAAATTGGCAGTGAATATAAAAAGAAAGAAAATAGGAAAAAAAAAAAAAAGAAGGAAACATATATTTTGAATCACATTACAAGTAACGGCCTATGAGACGGAGAAAAAGTATTGTTCCATACCAGTTCTGGTCAATGTCTGACCCCTATATGAAGCCCAAAGGCATAGTTGTTCTTCTAAATCGTCAGACCCCCTAAGCTGTTCTTCATTGTCACACTTGACACGCTCAAGAAAATTGTTCCATTCATCTGTATTTTCATCAGTAAGCCTGGCAGAAATTCAGAAATATGATGTAATACATGACAACATCAGAAGAACAAACCTGGGAAAATTTTCTGCAAGTAAAAGAGGATGGAGACACCATCTTCATTTGGCACTTCCAGCTCAGGCAATGAGAAGAGGACCTCCTCTGTGTAGTATGGAGTCAAAACACTGCAAAGAAGGAATTCTTTCAGGCCATAATGCATTAATGGGAGCACGTGAGCAGATCAGCTACAATGTTTTAGTAAACTACGATTAGTCTTGTAAAATTGTACTACCACGTCATTTAATGAAATGAAAAAAATGTAGAACTTGTGATCCAAAATCCATTAAAAATAATAATAATAAGGGAAGAAATCAGAGAAGATTACAATAATATGGCTCAGTTTTAAAGTAAAATAACTATGGCTATTATGATATTACTCCCTGTGGGTCAAGGCTCAAAACGTCTTTCTTTTTAGCCAGGTTTTTATGTACAATTATTATCATTTCAATATCATCAATTCTTTAGTTGTTACTTTTACTATCTTTCCAGGAACTTTATTGCAACTGGAGCTTGTCCCATATAAGACATTACAGTGCCTCCAAAACCAGTATGCACCGTGGGTTTCCTCGGAGTTCATTGTCAATAGGGTTTAAGTTGAATATTTTTGTTAAACCGGCTCATCTAAGAGCTTAAGCTAATAGAGTGGTGACAAACTTGTATAGTTAATTTATGTCTTCGACAATTTTAACACTTCTCCATTTTCGAAACTTCTCACAATTGTCATAATTATGAGCAGAATCGAGTAGCTTCCCAATATATTGATCATTGATAAGAAATGAACTCATTCGAATGATCTTGCTTGAATTTACTACTAAGTTGTTTAAAAAATATTAAGTTTGCTTCTGACACAACTACTCTTTCCATATACAAAATACCAGAAATGCTAGGTCTTGGCTAAATAGCTCAAAAGAACTTACGAGAATGAAAGCATATTGCGGACTTTAGGAGCTGAAGGCATGTCCATAAACAAGGAATTGGAGAAGAATGAGATGCGCCTTCTAGCTTCTAAGTTGGATGGCACATCCATGGCAGATTCCTTTACCGTCAGCAAAAAGTACAACCTTTTTATCTGTGAAGGAAACAATTGTAAACTTTTATTAATATAAGGTTGAAATATTTAGTCAAAGAAACACTTTGAATTTCCTTATTTACCTTCTCTTTCCAAGCTTCCGATTCAGGAGTTGGAAATATGATGGCTCCAGCGGATGCAAATAACTGATATTGTTGATCCAGAGGGATCATCCCTTCATTTGAATCTAACAAGCTATTCATATAAAATTAAGTTGAAATGAGTAGAACCATTCAGACCTCAAAAGTTGACTCAAAGTAGGGGTGATGAAGAACATATTACTTAGATACATGATCCTCCATCATTATATCCTGTGTCACAACTTCCAGCATGTCCTGGAAGAGAATGACAACTTGATCCCTGTCCTCCTGCTTATTTTCCATCTGCAAGAACAGGCAATTCAACATGGAATCTCTATATCAACAACTCAACAACAGCAATATGTTTTGGTTGAAAAAGGAGGAGAAATTTCAACTGCAATTTCTTTGCTGCAGAAAAAAGACCTACCAAGTAGTTTATAAGCTTAACAAATTTTTCATAAAGATTAGGAAGAGCGCTCAATTTGTATTCCTTCAATAGATCATCTGCCTCTATATGCTTGTCAACCTCGGAGAAAATGTATTCAATAACCCTGACACACACAGTATGATTAAAGAAAGAGATACGTGAACGTGTCACCATCAAACAAGGGAAGTGCTCATTAGCAAGAAGCAACCAAAACTTACTGGATCTCTCGGTTGCCACGAACTAAAAATTTAATGATGTTCCTAAATGAAGCATAGCACTCGCATACAGCAGAATACATGTAATCACCAGACTTGATCCGCTTTTTCAGTTCACTGTCCTTACCATTACTATCTTTAGCCATATCCACTGCAATTGGGATCTGTGTGTTGGAAGATCACATTCAGTATACGTTGCACTCGTTGACTGAAAAGTTGACTATGTTCCAATTGAAGTAAGTGAGTTCCAATCATTCAGTAGTTAAAAAAAAATGGCACAATAAAATTCCATCTCTCTTTTCTAAAATAATTTTCAGTTTACTTTACAAAAATTATTCAGAGGAGATTGATTTGATTTTCATTTTAGCAAAGTAGTCTTGAGAACGCTTGCTGGCTAGCTCTATAGCTTTGCAATGAGAAGGAAATGGATATGTGTTAAATAACAAGCAAGTTCACTGAGTTATATTAACTTTTATATAGTTCTTAACAATGCCCCTTCACATCATAAAATTTTGACATTTCTTCCCTAGCAGTCTTGGCCACGAAGGGAAATAATAATGTTTTTTTGCAAAATATTTTTCCAAATATAAAGCATAATAACAATATGGAGGAGGACTTGCAGCATGGGCAACAGATAGATGAAATTAATCAAATCACCGAAACACGGGAGAATTTTGACATAAAATGTAAAACAGAAACCTTGCTAGCAAGCAAAAATGGAGGCCACTGAATTAGCTCCAAGTCACGATCAGCCCAATACGGAACAAGCAACAGATCCATTTCCCTAAACATCAATGTAAGAGAAATAAGTGAAAGAGAAAAAAGAATCCACATAACTGATTTCAAAATATTCAAATTGACAATTACCTATCGCTAATAAGATCTTCCTCTCGGAAACTTGTAATTATTTTGTTCCACAACTGAGCAAATCTTGCAGCTTCTTTCTCCTTACTGGATGGGATCTTCACCAATAATATTCACAAGAAAAAACTTAAGTTTCATTATTAACATGCATTTCATCCTATTTTTATATATTCTCATAGTAACATATGTCCAAATAATAAAATAGAAAGTTTAATAAATAAACTACCACTTCAAACTTGCGTGAAAAGGTGGCCTTCAGTCCTTTCTTTTTTGTTGAATCACTTTTCTCATCAGGGATTAAACAGGCATTAAAAGCACCAGGAATTGATTCAAATCGGGATCTAAGCATTCCTAAAGTTCGAATCTGAAAGTTAACACAAAGTTAAAGCCACAGATATAAATCAATACTCTTCGGTCATAAAATAAAAGAAGGTATCTGATAACTCTTTCCTGTATGTATCTACAGTCACAAGAAAAACTTGTTATCCAACGACTGCTGGACACATTAGTTTGCAAGATAAAACTGAAAAACTGATCCAAGATGCTTAAGCTCATGGAAGTTCAAGAGTTCTAAGAACATTTCAAGAATAATCTTGCTATGCTAATAAACAATAAAACCTTCTTCTTGGTGACTGAGAGGGGTTTCTCATTAATGTCCACAGCTCATCCTCTTTGAAGCTAGTACATACAAAAATAATGTTGCTCCAGGCATGTTTCCTAATTTAAATTTTTAATTTCATCTCATTCGACTAGTCCTCAAAGCCAATTAACACTTCAAATACCAGCATCCTATCCAACTACTGCAAAAGTGGTAAGAGCCGATAAGTTATGAGGTCTGATTTGCAAAGCATTAGTGTCAAAGGTTATTGTGAAATTGAAACAAAGCAACAAAGGAATCTGAAAGCTGAAATTGATGCCAGTTAGAAGCTAGTGACAGAAATAAAGAAAGTGAATGAAGGAAATAGAATGTTTTCAAAGATGATATTTATTGAGTGTCAGCAAACTTGTGCAGCTCAAACAAAAGCAAAAGATTTCACAATCATGCTGAATAATATCACTAGCGGAAACAGTATATCGTTGAAATCACCGAGATTAAAAATAAAAAAGGAACCACTGACCTCTCCCAGACGACGAAACGCACCATATATACCTCCAAATAAAGTTGAGAATATAGCATACCATATCTGGGTATCCATGAAATAGACCTGTAAAGGGACAGCAGATTTAAGCAACATGAGGCAATATACCTAACCAACAAAGTTCATCAATAAAAGCTTCTATCTGACAGGAAAATACAGAAAAGAAATTTCATTATAAGTAATGCATAATCCATACAAGAATAAGTGGCGCCCAGAGTGCAATCACGACACCAATATTGCTTTTAGCTGTAATCACATGATGAAGTGGAAACCAATAGATGATAACCAATATCAATACAATAATTTTCGTGTGCGTGTGTGTGTAACATTTGAGTAGTACAGACTTGAACAGTCGATTATTACCTCGGGGGAAAAACTCGTGCCATTGGTATGTTGATATATGAACACTCATGATTTCTTTTGTTGGACCCACCAAAGGCTTTATCTGCAATTCAAATCTTTGGTCCGTTAAACATCAACTGTTCTATGTCACTATACGTTTAGAAGTTGTTTTGGAGTCATTTATAATCGATTTAAATTATATATAAATAGAAATGAGTGATGAGTAGTACTTGTAGATCATACAAAATGAGTGGATAAAAAGTGGTTTGGTCGGGCTTAAATTAACAAACCAGATCAGATTGTCCGCAAAATAAGCAGTTTAATGAACTTAGTATGTTTTTACTTGACCTCACGACACAGGATGTCTCATCTTTGGTAATTGAAGCGTTCTTAAAACATAACATTAATGCAACATAATCTGGGTATCATTGTAAATGCAACGCCGCACTAAGGATTCTTTCTCTCAAAAGTAATAGATCCTAATGTGATAAATAGATTAGCATAAGAGAATAAAATAGAAATCAATAAACGAGTACAGTAAGCACCTCTATATAATAACTGAAAGCCAACTTGGTTATGATGAGAAGCACCCAAAACAATGTATACCTGTGAATTTAAATTAAAGTAATTAGGTAATGAGTTATATGATTTTATACAACCTAATGCTTCTGATTCCTTACTTAAATAAAGAAAATGCACTTTCATGCATTCCTCTTCCAACATAGAGCCGAGGCTGCATGACATTTAAGTAAAAATAGCATTAGCTTTCTCAAATGTTTCTTTGTCATTTGACATGTATCTGCGAAAACTGATATTGTATATACCTGTGACCACCACATCGTGAACATCACAATTTTGTAATTTGATCTCTCAAGGTATCTGCGGATGAAGGGAAACACAAACAGCAACGCAGCAAGTATATTTGGAGCCAAGTAGAGGACGACAGCCATGATAAACAATGAAGGAGAACTTGAGTTATTGCCAAACCAACTTTTAATAGTTTGAGCAAATCCAGGAGGATTCTTCTTCCATGTATAAGCATAAGTTACTGGCAAAATAACCACCCATGCAGCAGCTGATAGAACCTTCAAAACGTATCGTAACTTGACATAGAAGGACATGCTCTTTCGTGCTTTCCAACTAAAAATTACATCAAGGATGGCTGCAGTAAACAGATGGATATCACATAAAAGAAAAGGAAATACAAGGCTTCTCTATCATCAAATCTGGCAAAAGTGAAAAGAAAACCGATGGCATAAGCACAGATTATCTTGCTCCATCCAACAGGAAGAAAAAATTGCAGGAAGAATTCAATCACACAATCATGTTGCAGTTTATTTTCCCCATTAGGCAAACAATATCATTGAAATGTTGCAAAATGCAATCATATCAAAGCAATATATTGCTTCAGTCTAGAAAGCTAAATACATATATTACTTGTAACGTTGTTTAAAAAGGCTCATATGGATACCAAGGTGTATTGCCTCTGTGAGGCAAGGTATAAGCCTCAACACAAACCAATAAAATAATTTATAAAATATAAATTACAAAAGATAAACTCAAAATAAACCCCACAGCATCTTGAAAATCCAAAAAACAAGATTAACAAATCAAAAGTCTAACTTGAAAATAGACATAATATATAAATAAAATAGTAAATAATAATTTGTCATATTAGTAATTATTACTAGAACAAAGCCAAAAGTCTTCCGTATTATCACAGCTAATAGGATCTTAAAGAGAAATCTCAACCAATCTGATTCCCCTATCATTCTCTTAGTCACCATCCTTTTCCTCACAATATTTACTTCATCCTCCACTTATAATTGTGCCTTCCTCTTATCCTAAAACAAAAACACATGGAGAACAAGAAAAAAAAAGTAAGAAATGAATGAAGTTAATGTCTTGTCACTCGCCATCTACTGCTGAAAGTAGCAACTTCACTTGGGAGAGGAGTTCATCACACTTCAGATGTAGGAGGTTGGGACAAGCTTGCTTCTTGCCCTCTTCCTATCTTCTCCAATTCCCTTTTCCCTAGTTTTTATGTTTAATTGTGTTTACTATAGCCCAAGAAACCCTTTACAATTCTACACCATAAAGTATAAGTGCTTTTAAAGCAATGATTATATGCATAGGTTGACTTAAATCCATAATATAACTTTCAAATATATGCCACTTACATATAGCTAAACTCCTTCAAAACAGATTTGTTTGGTTTCATGTTCAGGGGCTGTGTGATATTGCTAAAAGTTAATAAATGTGAGGCCATGAAATGTATGGTGAAAAAGTCGATAAGAGTTGTGAGTTCAATGAAATGTGTGGTTAATGAAGTTTGACCAGCTTTTTAGCAAACACAAATTGTACCGAACAAGCAATCAATTATTATCAGCCACGTCAATAAGGCAAGTGAAAAATTCAGGCAATGCGTTTGTTATCGCTCATTAAGCTGCCTCCTGGTATTATAATATAAAGCCCAAGTATTTATTTTCAGCACCATTCAGTTAATTGAGGGCGGAAGGAAGTGAAAATGAGTATTTATGATACTCAATATAGTGGGGATTATGACATGTACAGCTGTATTGACCTGTGTTCTTAAAACCAGACCAGAAGGTTCAACCAGAAAAAACAGGAATAGATTTGGTTGTTGTCTAAAACCGCTTTATTTGCTAACAGGGAAATACGGGGCTAAAAACCCGATTCAACAGCAAAAAGGTTGACCTGATAGCTGTTGTCGACTATTCTTCATAGACAAGTTTTATTTATTATCGGGCTAAAACAGTGAAAGGCCTACAATGTTCTTGCTGGCCCATTCACTTTAAAATCTATTATACTACATCATGTTGGCCAAGCACTCATTTTATAGGCTAGTTCAAATGTGCTTTTGCTTCCATATGTAGATGTAGGATCCCCATTCTTTACACATTTCATGTTTAAAGTTTCCAGATTTATTGTTATGCAAAGGAAGAACCACCAAAATTGATTATGACAAACAAAAGCCCATAAAAATTATTAATATATTTAATCTGATTTATATTTTAATTTTAGTTACTCCATATTTAATTTATTTCACGATTTATTGAATCTTTTATCCATATTCATTGTCTAATTGAAAAATTAACTTATTTTTCTAGTGTATGTGTGTGTATTTATTTAGTTATTTATTTTTTACAATCCCCTGCTCGACTTTCTGACTGGCCAGGTCGATTCTGAAGACATGGTTATTGACACAGACTTTACAAGCAATTAGCTAGTAGAAATCAAGTTTTTAAGATCAAGGATTTCTAAGTTAGGAATCATTTTTTTATAAGCCATCTAAAGCAGAAATAGGTTATAAATGTTATCGTGTTAAAAATAAACATGTTTAATGTACCTCCCCCAAGCTTCAATATTGCAGCAGTTATAAAGATGCTCAATACTTTCTTGAAAACATCAGAACTGAAAATTGAACTTAGCTGCCCAGAACCATTCCAAGCAACAATGATCATAGCCTTTACATATGCCAACAGTTATGAAAGTTGAGTTAGAACAAAATATATATAATATCAAGGATAAAGGCTACTAGATACTATGAACACTAAAGAAGCATACCTGTAAGCACAGTATAAAAAAACTCCACATTCTATCGAAGCTTCTATAAATATGCCAATATGACCGAACCTCAACAAAATTAACTTTCCCCATCCATCGATCTCTTGTAGGCTTGATATCCTAAGTTTCATAAAAAAATTCACCAAAATCAGTTGTATTATAAAGCATAACTTCATTAAGAAAGCTTAAATATGCTACTACTACTTAGGAAGCATGACTTGACAGTGAACAATGTAAGTGGCTTTGACAGTTCACTGAAATGTGGAACAATCAATGCCTCACTAAGGATAACAGATGAGGCTATTCCAACCAGTTTTCTAAAGCTAGCAACAACATTAGATAAAACCTAATGGATGCACACTTACAATGGACTTCAAAGTGCCCCAAGGAGCTCTGTCTGCTTTGAGAAGGAAATTTCCAAAACTCTATCGTATCAGATAAGGGGAAGGGAATGCTTATTAAGATGTACTACATGCTATTCATAAGATGCATATATTCCCAACAATTTCTTTACATCCCCCTCATCAATAATACCCTTCATTTCCCCACAGATATAACTGACAAAACGGGACTGGCTTCTTGGAACTTTTGAACCAATCGTTGTATGACCTTTGCGGCCGAACTTGTCTGATTCCAATTATTTTTTCCTGGGTAATTCCTACACCATATAAAATTATGGAACCAATACAAGGTTGGATAAGCAGTGCAAGTTGTAGATTGTTTTATGGCATCTCCATACAAAGACTACAAGTGTAATAGGAGCATCCATTGACAAAAGGATGATCTTTTCATGGCTATTGAGAATGAATTAAATCCGATCACACTTTTTCTTTCCTTTTTACTCCACTACACAATCATACAGAATTTCAAAAAAAGTAGAAGTATTTGACCTTGGCATCATGAACTTTCAGGATTGGTTTGATGGTATTTCTTCTGAGGGCCTAAAAAGCTAGCTATTTTTTCTAAGGTAGTTTATATATATCCAGAAAATGGAACTCTAGGTAATCCCAAACTGGCAGTTACATTTAATAAGAGACCTGTTCCATAATCATTTTCTTGAGGTAGTCAGTTGATAATATTGTAGTTGGAAACTTGGAGTAGAGGGTAAAACCTATCTGATAAGCACAAGCGAAACCCAGATTAGCCTTATTCTGATTTGTGTTATCAATTATCCAGAAATGTTATTAATCAAAAATAAGTACATGCAAATTTTTGCTATGTATTATTACTTTGGTTAATAACAAAACTGTACTAAAAATTATTTAAAATATAAACATAAAATTTAAGGTGCAAAACTAAGACAACGCAAGGATCAACACCGATTGAGAATATATCATCTAAGAACGGGAAAATGTAACTAAAATTACGACGACAATAATTCACGAGCTTGAGTTATGAATATACTCAAAATAAAGAAGCAAGGATGATTAAAATTGGGTCAAACTATATGCATCTATCAGCACTGTTAGCATCATTCACTTATGCATGCATGGTAGACCCATCCATATCAACATCAGACAACATTACAACAATACATGAACGAGTTCCCAGCTCATTCCTTCCACCTCTAAATATTTCATGAAACTTCATAGGCCAAAAATGAAACATGACGAAAATCCTAAAAATTCCTTCTTAGGCACCAACAACATGAAGAGGTTATAATAAATTTGGTCAGTCATTTTTATCAGTCCAAATCAGCGCCATCTTCAATGTCAAGAATATTATGCTTCACCGACATGAAGTTCCAACATGGACGTTGAGAAAAACATGAAAGCCCATAAAAGTGTGCTTACCCCATTTTTCTCACTCAGCAGCTGATCTACAGGCTTACAGAAAAAATCAGCATCAGCACGCATAGGCCAACCTAACCGGAAACAATCCATTGACCTGTGATTTATAAAAAAAATCAGTAAAAATATAAACAAAAACAAGAAGTATTGAAGCTAAAAGATACAACCCTACCAAAAGTATTCATTTAAATCATCGTAATTTCTCCACTCAGAATGCTTAGATTTTCCCTTTCTGCTCCTTGCTGCTTCCTGAAGAACAAGAAATTAACTTTAACTTGAAGGAAGAGCAGAGGTAAATTACATTTCTGGAGACAATACAATAATGAAGAAAAGAGAACGAATTGCATGCAGCCTATACCTGAGCAATCACTTCATAAATTGGGGTCACGACTTTCTGTAAAAATGCTTCTTCTTCTCCTCCATAGGCTGGCTTCACATTTTCGCCCGTCGTGGGACTAACATTTCCAGCCAGCATACCATAAAGCTCAAAAGCCATCTAAAAGAAACAGATACCAAAAAAATTGCAATGATCAGTTGGGATAAAATTTGTTTTACTGGGCCTTAATTGAGGACAATGTCCAAAATCAGACATTATAGAAAAACAAGTCCATTATCAAGGAAAGTAAAGCCTAATAACACTTCTTATAGAAGCATTATCAATAAAATTGGAGGTCGAAAGATAAATAAAGACCCTGTATACCAAATGGAGCCAACTGCATACATAAAAAGAAGAGCCTCATGTGTTTATAACATACACAACAACTTTCAAAATCACTTTGATTTTTGAAGAAAAACAACACTTGAGGATAGATAAGCATTAGATTATTGCAGTATTGCTGATTCAAGCAAATAAATGAAGTAAAAATTCCTTAGCAAGACTACGAATTCGGATCCTGTAATTTCCTTCTTATTTCAATTTCATTTTGTTTAACCTTCAGATATTATGCCAATCAGCTGACCCGGAACATGCCTGATGTCTTTTGAAATGAGGTTTCCTTTTTTTTTTTTTCACAGGAATTTCTATTTCATCAGTGAAACTCTAAACACAAAAAGCAAAGACCAAATTGCCAGCACAGAGATAACTAGAGTTGCAAAACAGAAAATCATGGAACTTTAAGAGATGCCTCTCAGATTCACACAAGTTGATAAGCCAGGTTCATTCCAGAATCAAACATTGGAAAAATCACACATCCAAATACATTGAGCCGCCCACCAGAAATCCAAGTGACAATATTTGATAGAAAAGCATACTAACTCTCCATGTGGCAGCATGTTTTTATAAATACTGCTATACTATAATCCCACAATTTTATGAGGCTGTTAAATCTAGTCCGCATTAATTGTTATTAACACTGAAAATAATTTATAAATCTGCGATCTGCCTTATCCCATTAGCATATCTATTCATCTATTCTATGACAAGTCATATTAGGATTCCAAGAGCATCTCCAAGAGATTTTCTATTATTTTTAAAGAGCATGTTCTACAATTTAAATAGCATCTATAAATTTAGAGAATATAAATTTTAAATACTCCAATAGGCTCTCTATATTTTGTTTGTGCCCCATTATTTGTGAGTAATGTATTATGGAATAGTGACTGATATTGAAATGTATGGTTAAAAAAGAATGAAAAGTTTTTTATTTACGTGTAAGATTATTTTAATGAAGAATGTGTGGTTGAAAATAAGTACTATAGAAAAAATAATGTAGAAAATGGTAGACAAATAAAGCCTTAAGCCCCGTTCGTTTCCCATGAGAATGAAAAATATAGTCGTTAGGGGCTCCAATCAAGATATAAGAATTCAAATATACTAGCGTGATGTGATAGATAACGATCATATTTTTCATTTTAATGGCCAAATAATGAGAAACAAATAGGGGCTTAATACTTAAATTAACTACTTCAAATTTGTCCCCCTTTCCTTCATTTTCAATAGCTTCCCTCTAAATTATATATTATTTTTTTTTATTAAAAATTGAAACACTTTAAATACGTTTAATTATAAAGAATTTTAATTAAATGGTCTATTGGAGCATAATTTTAAGGGTTGACTTTTTAAAATAAAGATCATCTTATGTTAAAAGAGCTTATTGAAGATGCTCTAATGGGCACTGATTATTTGAAAGCTATAAAATTCTTCTTAGAAAACAAGGGGCGAAAAGGAATGTGTGTGTATTATATTCCTTCTCTCGACAAAACATAACAGGATACTTGAAGTAGTAAGCATCTGAAATATACATGATGATAGATGTAGCAAAGGCATTCTGGCATGAATCTTAAATTGGCAGCTTCGCCCCATATAAGAAGATATAGCCCCATATATAACAATTTGCGCTGTTGCACTTCCTGTTGTATGGTGGGTAACCTACAAATCAACAGGAGTGGCAATAATCATTGACCATAAAAATGGAAAATATATAGAGCAATGCATCAGGGAAACCTAGGTTTGAGCAAGAAAGAGAAGTTAATTTTAGGCTGTGCGTTAAAATGAATGTATCATCACGAGTAAATCAAGAAACAGTTTAGATTTTAGAATTCCAAAAATTCAATGATGAATGTGGATTCTCAACAACTCCAACTATTACGGCTCACTGAATTTCAGTATTAAGTCAAACTATCATAACATGATCTCAATGACATTAATATCAAGAAGAATCAGACCACCTTGAGCCCAGAAGCATAAGATTTGGATTAGGAGAAAAAATCATCATGCAGACAAAACCTTCGTATTATTAGAAGTCTTACCAAAGACTACTTTTCCGATCCAAATACTTGCACCATTTCTTGTAGTTCTTGAAAAGTTTCTTCATCACTTCATTGAGAGCACGCTCATCCAACTAAAGAAAAGATGAAATGAAGTAAAAGGTTACTTGGGCCCAAGACAATGAAATAAATTGATAGGGAGGAGAAAGTAGAGTAGGGAAATTATTAATAATAAGCATAATAGGGAAATCAAGGGTTCCAAGTTCTTTTTATTTTTGAATAATATTTTAACTACTCAAAGTGTATTGAAAAAGAACCAAGAGTGGACAGCAACACTTTATCTGCCTACATGCATGATCATGTCTGTAACAAGCATGTACCCAAGTCGTTAATTCATTCGTATTGTCCGCTTTGGAGAATCTGTATTCATCTTACTCTCACGAATTTCTTTCGCATCCAAGACATCTATATATTACCAAAATTCAACTAACGGTCTCAAGGCAGAGATCTTGAATTCGAATCCTAGGGGACACAAAGAAATCGGTGAAAGGTAAGATCGGCATATGCTCTCTCAAAACAAAAGATTTTACAAACAGACGTGCATCTTATCCTTTATGGATTTTGTTGTCCCCCAAGACTCAAACTCAAAACATCTACCTTACGAGAAATTTAAATTACTAGGATCCAACTTATTTTTCTCATAAGGCAGATGTCTTTGGTTTGAATCGTAGAAAACGTGAAAGAAATCCATAAGAGATAAGATGGGCATAGACTATGCCAGGCGGACACTATGTATAAGTTAACGGCTTGGGCATAGGCTCAAGCTGTTACAATGCCTCTATAAAATCAAAATATTAGTGAACCAACTAAGATAAGAAAATTGGTTATTTATTCTGGATTTTAAGATCTTTTTACTTGTAGAAAAGAACAAGTGCAAATCAATCTTCAATACTTAACATTTGGAATGAAATTAGTACTAAAGGGGTGGGAGATGTTGCGCTACTATTGTTTCGAGAATGACAATAAAGCAATTCTTGAGCCCATTCTAAGGAAGCTACGTGTCATAATGTGTGTGTATGTGTGTGAGAGAGAGAGGGAGGGAGAGAGAGAGACCTTAGGTTGTTGGTCTGGCTTTGGAAACTGCCGTATGTGCACATTTGCCAGTAGCAAAATCAAATGCTCCCTTTGATTTGCCACATTGTCTTTCTGCAAGCAAATTTACAACAAACAATTGTAGAGTTACACTGGAATATTATACTTAGTAAATGTACGCTGAATTCCCAAATTTGTCTTCTGACAAGTCACAGAAAGCAGCACGTGTAGATGATGTAAAATTGGAATGGAGGAAGATGTATAGCTAATTCACCTGAAAACCAAACATCGCTTGAAGCCAGTCGAGAATATCTTCATCCTTTTTCTTCTTATGATCCTGAGGCCAAGGAAGACCCCTGATATTTCTGAGAGCATGAACAGCAGCTTGAATCTGTAGCAAGAGATCACCCAAGCAAAATCATCAAAATCAAGCGTTAAAGGAAAGATATGCATATACTGGGAGTTAGTTGTTCACGAATCAGACCTCTGGATATTTCATAATTGCTTGATTTGCACTGTCAGGATCAAGAGGGAGAATATTATAAGGAGCATATATGTCCTTTTTCTCTGCAACTTTATCATGAGCTTCCAATATCTGTGCCACAGACAGTCACTATAACATTCAATTTGCACCCAAAAAACAGATTATGCATAATAGCTATTTTAGCTTATGGCTCTCCAAGAACATACGAAAGTATGTCAATCATATGAAACACATAATTCATGTTTACCTCACGGTCAACTTCCACTGCTTGAGTCTGATTAACCGCTTTCAAAACCTCAAAGAGAACATTGGCCGTTTGGTATGCTTTTGTCAACTGTGCACTGAACATTATAAACATCTTAGTGCTTAAAATGAACCAATTGCAGCATCAGCAAAAAGAAGCCATTAAAACCATTTGCACATTTAAAGAAGGATAGTATTGTTCTCAAAAACTAAAGAAAACTTACCGATCAGCCTTATCAGCAGCATTTTGCAAGGCTTGTATATATTTTTTATAGTAATGCTGATAAAAGCTCTGCATTTCGCGTGCATCACTTTTTTTCACTCTTCCCATCAAGGTAGGATCATTTTCCTGGGAACAACAAACAAGATCAATCACTCTCCTAAGAATTAATGGAAAACAAAATAATAATAATAATAAGTTTTTAAAAGAGCTTTCAACTGAACAAAACTATGAAAGGTGCATAAAAACCATCAAACTAAGATCAATTTAATCAAAGCTATCTTATGCAATCTTCTAAAACCAAATGATCCTAAAAGGGCTATTTAAGCTAATTGAAACTACAAGATATATTTGAGCATAACAGTGGATCTGAAATACAGCACTATCTCAGCAACTATGTCTTGGGAAGTCGATGTCTTCATAGAAGAAAGAAAAAATGAAATCTAAGTGGAAATGTTGAACTCAAAATAAACTTTTAAAATGCCTATATGAATGTGCATGACAAAAGAATGCACGTTACTCTGCAGAATAGAATACTCATAATTCTTACAGCGTCAAAATAAATTGGCATACACTGGATCAAGTGCGCTCAAACGTTGGACGCATAAAGCAATTGGTTCAAGTAAGAATAAAGAGAAACATGTTAGAGACACTCACCCTTTCAAGACGTTGCAGTAGAGCCGTTTTAAACTGACGCACACCACGTCCACTAGATGTTGGGTCCAGCCTATGAGCTTTCTCAAAAGCATAAAACCGACCTGCAAAAAATGACCAGTGGCATGTCAAAATTACTCCAAAGTACTAATAAATAGAACTTTACAAATTGTCGAAGTATAAATTTTGCAATCGCAATGGAGAGGAAAATCAGGAGAAGGATAAAACTGAGCTTAGAATGCTAAAATGCCTTTCCCCTATCTATTTATTTACAACAGTAGATAAGGTTAAATTCTCCAGATAACTTTCTATATAGCAATTTTAGGAGCTAAAAACAGCAACGCTGAAAAATACTTCAGAGCACTTGTGAACAAAACTTCACAAAGTTTACAGCTTTGGCAATCAAAATGAGGCCAATGAGGAAAAGCAATAAGTGAAAAAATTGAGTTTAATACGCTATCATCCTTTTCACCTACGTGTAGTTGGTGTTTTATCCATCCCAATGTTAACCCAGAATAATTTTCTTCCACCAGCCAGGATCATGTACTCACAAGTTGAGTAAAACATAAGAAAAGATTATACATCATTTCTATCTCTGGTAAGAGAGATGTAAGAACTTCAAAATAGTAACTTAAAAAATGAAAAAGTAAAACCATTGAGCATACCATGAAGATTCCAAATTATACAATAAACGAACTTGATTCTGAAGGGTATTTATTTACATGGTAGTAAGCTACTGTTCTAAGGTTTTTCAGCTTGTAAGGCAACTGCCATCAAGACAACTGCTGATTCAGTTGCAGATTGCATGAATTACTTTGCTTTATTGCAAAAAAAAACAAAAAAAGCCCCCGTTTGGCCCCAATTAAATTTCATTTCATTTTTCTCTCTCCTATTTCCAATCATACAATCTTCTATAAAATAATATTATGCGTAAACCGAAAACTTTTTCTTCTTTTTCAACCGCTCATTTTTCAAAAAAATACTATTCCGCCTATTTTCATTTCAAAAGACAGGGGCCAAAAGGGGGCGAACTTTTAAGAGACCCACTAAATTCTCATGATTATCAAAAGAATTAATTAAAAGAAAAGGTTAAAATATTTATCAATAATATATTAATGTATGAATGTCCCACTTTTTCCCTTAGTGATCATCATACCATTCCAGTCGCCAGTTATTGACAGGTTGCCACCAAATTATTAGCATGAACCCACAGCATACAAGAAATCAAATGCTCATTCCTCACATCTTACAGCTGACTCAGTTCATTTAAGGTTTTCATCTAAATGGATTATAATGCTTAGAGACCTGTCACCACTTGTTAGTACATCATTCTAAGAAATATTCACATGAAACCACGTTCACAGAAACAAATGAAGTTAATGTTGTTTACATGGACATAGTAAAATGAATATATTATCCAATCCAATATTCAGAAGTGTCATATACACTATCCATCATTAACAACCAGTTTCTTAAATATTTTATCTATGATCCGATAACTACAACACACAGTCAAGATGCAACTTCTACTTCATACACGAACATAAAGGCAAAATATTTCAAGACTTACAGAGGTAGGCAACACGGGGGTTGCTAGGCTCAACTTCATTGGCAACACGGAGGATAGGGGCAATTTCTACCAGGGATGACGGTACTACTTCACTATCGAAAATCGATTCCCCGAGATTCCCTACAGTCTGGGTGCGTGTAATCCGCCGCTGCAGCTGTGGATTCTGATGGGAAGATCCCCCTCTGGATAACATGTTAAATTTCCGTCCTTGCAGATTGTAAACAAATATATCCTTGCAGAAGAAATTAAAATATCACAGCTTCAGTCCAGCAATATAAGTAACTTGCATGCACATTGATACATCTTCACACTGTGTGTGTTTCTGTATGATATCGCATCTTATTTACTTTATCAGCATCCCAAATTTAAACAAAAAAAGCCCAGAAAAATCTGTTTCTAACAAACCCATTTACAGTTAAAAGCCAAATAATAATAATGCAATAATTTTAGTAAAAAATAATAATCAATACATAAAAATCTTTCGTACATAGAAAATTTAACAGATACCCAGATCCCCAAAAATTCACATCTTTTACTCCATTAAAATAGCAGATGCATCTTCAACAAAGTGTGGACGTGTGTTAGATATAGTTACCACCGATGGGACGGGAGAACTTGGTAGAGTTCAAAAAACCACTATTTCTCTAAGGCAAAGCTCATCAAAATACATGAGCTGGAAAAGCAAACTGAGTATATCGAAAAATCTGAAGCAAATGACCCCCAAAAAAAAAAGATAACTAAAAAAAAATGAAGAATAATCACATCACTAAAAATGTTGGATTCCTTTGCACTTACATATAAAGGTTCGCATAAAGTGAAGTAGTAGGGTCTTTCAGTCCAATGTATGAACCCTAAGAGAGAGAGAGAAAGATAATGGCTGGTGGTGGTAGGGTGGGCTGTAATCTAATTGGTGAAGGAATGTAGAGAGAGAATATGAATGGAGAGAGAGGACGCTATGGAGGCAGAAGAAACTGCAGCGTCGTGAGTAGGCATCACGCTGCCCAGTTCCTATGATTCATAAAGGCCCATTATTTTGTTGGATACTACGACTATGCCACTGACGCTAGTGTAGATGGAAAATGATAGAAGTAAAACTGCCAAAAAAAGATATTTAGGCCGCACCCATTTTTATCAAAATACATTTTTCTCTTTCTTCTTTTCAACCACACATTCTTTATTAAAATAATATTACACGTAAATCAAAAATATTTTCTTATTTTTCAACCACACATTTCCCATCAATTTACTATTCAAAAATATATTTTCACATAAAAATTCTTAACAAACACCCTCTTATAAAAATCATGTTTTTGTAATATTTGATAAGAAATTCCTAATTATGTCAAAATAAAAATTAGAATATGACTCGATTGCTAATAAGATATATAACCCTGTTTGGTATGATTACAAATTTAATTCAAAAAATAACAATTAATTTTAATCACATATTTCATGATATTCCACAATTTTCATTAACTTTTTTACAATATATTTTATTAATTTTTATCAAAATTTACTAAAAAATCCTATTTTTAACTACGCCAAACAAGACATAGTAAAAAAAATGTAATTAAAAATCAAGTTTTTTGTAATATTTGATAAAGAAATTTCTAAATATGTTGAAATAAAAACTTATTTAAAATATATAATTTATTAATGTTTGTATCCTTTGATATTTTAGGTAGAGAATATCATGGCACAAGAATGTAATAAACAACGGTTTAGCCATATCTAATATTTCATGCAGTCCGTGAAGATTAGATAAGAGATATTGTGTACCGCTATCGTAAATTTTAAGTGTAAAATAGCATAGTGATTTACAATCAACAAATATATTTAAATCTTACAAGTTGATCAAGTTTTACTCGACAATATTTATAATCAATCTTTTATCAAATTTTCTTGCAAAACGACCAAGATATATAATTTGATTTATTTGAACCATAAATTGTTAGTTAAATGAGTTTCGAACCTAGTCTAAAATATTGATTTTTTTGTTAATATTTCAAGTGAAATGGACATCGAAATTTTTATGTTTAAACTAAGAGCATGTTTGATAGAATTATTCAAGACTGTTTTTCTAAACTAATTTCCAATCTAGCATTATTTCAATAAATAATTATAGACGTGGCAATTTTTCTTATTTTTTAACCGTATATTTTTTTTAAAAAATTCTTAATTTATTCTCAAAAAGTTCACAATAAGGGGTACTCTTGTAAAATCTGGCAAGGACTTGGACGTTTCTATTTCTCCAATTCAAAATTCAAAAGGTTGGATTCCTCCAATCAACAAGAAAAGTTAAAAAGAGAAAAAGCAGTAGCCGTTTTAATTGATATTTGGACCATTTTACCCTCTAAACTTCCTTATTTACAGTTCTTTAAATGTCACTCTCAAAGCATAAATTTCAATACCAGGGTCAATAATGAGAAGCACGAATATCAATGCAACGCTCCTTTTTGGCACATGGGCAGTACTAATAAATTTTCACTTTCTAATTTAAAAAAAAAAAAAAAGTTATTATAATAATAATAATAATAATTAGAGGGTGTTTGGGAGTCATTTTTATGTAAAAATGTATTTTAAAATAGTAAATTGATGAAAATGTGTTGAAAAATAAGAAATTTTTTTTGATTTACGTGTAATATTATTTTAATGAGAATGTGTGGTCGAAAAGAAGAGAGAGAAAAATACATTTTGAAAAAAAGGGTACCAAACGGGGCCTTAGTGTATTAATTACTTTAGACATTATGGGCCTGTTTGGTACATGGTACAGTAAATCCAAGTTTGGGATATTCGGTCGGTTCTATTTTTTTTTTGTAAAAGGGGCCCACTTTTGGACCAATTTGAAAAACCCTTCCAAGCAAGTCACAGCTCATTTTTGTTCCTTTTTTTTTCCTTTTATTTATATATATTCTTAAATTCTTTTCTTTTATTTGGATAAGGGAATAAAAATGGGAGGGCAGATTCATATGAATCTGCGTCCAATCTACGCATCACTTTCTTTTTGTTTTTCTCCTTGCGTACAATGATTTTTCTTTCAAAAAATATCGTAGTTCATGAGATGAGGTCAATATCAAATAAGAATATGGTCAATTCGTTGTTGAACACTCTAATCAATTTCAGGTTAAAATAAAATTGCAACGAAGCAGGTTCGGGATGGAGAGGGGAACCGGTCCCACCGAGCATTTTCTCGTGCCCATCCTATTACAATATTACCTGTTTAAGGCTAGGCGGGTAATCGTACCTCTTTAATTTTTTTTATATAATCTTTTACAATTCATTTTATTGTCTCTATTCATTCAATTGAGACAAAAATATAGTTATTAAATTTTCTAAATTTATTTATTTATTTTCAAAAGTTAAATTATTTGAATATATTTAGTAAACTAAAAGTTTTTATTATTTATCATATTTCTTAAATAATCATAGTTGTCATCTTCTATCAGGGACGAAATCAGGAACTTAAGTTACAGGGGGGCAAAAATTTAGAAATTTAATGTATAAAATACCTACTTAGTGCTTACATAGTTTGTTGCCGACAACATGAACGGGTAATTAGATGATTTGTTAAGCTTATTTCGATACTTTAAAAACAAAATTAATCATATACATGTAAACAAATTTGAATAGAAAATTCATTAAAAATTAAAATATCGCAACAATCAAAAATCATAAATATAATGTATAAAACCATAAACATAACGTAATTAAAAAATCATCAAACACATTACACAGCAAAAAATTAGAATATCAGAATATGTTATAAATTTATAATTTAACACTCAAAGTTTTTAAACTCAATGAATGAAAACAAAAGAAAAAGTTATTTTGATATAAGTATTAAAAAAGGACACAATTACTAACCAATAATCGAAGAAAACTAGTTGCTAACTGAAAATGTGGTTCGGAGTAAGTAGTTGCTGGCCAAATTGAAACTCTTCTTCATAGGTACTTCCTTTTCTGTGGTCAACGGCTCTCCGATGAGATGGTAACTAGGAAAAATAATAGACAGATTAGGCATTAGGGTTATTCAAAGATTTGAAAATTTTTGTTTTTCTACTTTTGCAACTGAGTGACGGGAATGGTGGAAGGAATGAAGATGATATTTGTTGTGTAATTGGGTAATGGGCTGTTAAATACTAAAACAAATCTTTGGGCCAAGTATAAAATAAGAAATTGATTTTACAAATTGTGGTGGGTTGGTTAATGTTGGTGGGCTAATAGACTAAAATTAAAATATTTCAACATTTTTTTGGGGACTTTTACTGAACATAGGCTTGAGAATTACTGGGCTACAGCCCAGTAGTGCCCTCCCTTCAATCCGTCTCTGTCTTCTATTAGAAAAAATGAAATTTAGTTAAGTTTTTCTATTTAAAGTATTGAATTTAAAAAAAAAATGGAGAGGGTTGGGGCAGGGTGGGCCCTGTTACCCAATCTGATTATCCGATTAAGTGGATAATCTTGTCATGTTTAGGGCGGGGTCGCGAATATTGAGTTTGATGGGTATTTTTGTCATCCCTAAGTTAAAATAAGGATTTTGTGAACTATTGATTCTCTCTTTACGATAATAGAAGCGACCACCATAGCTTGAACATATGACAACGTACAATCATACAATTTTACACTTAGTGTCATAAATTCATCAATCATGATATATGTATGTTAACTTTTTCATTAACTTTGACATTCTTTAGCGTAAAATTCATCACAATCATTGATTTTTACAACCATTTTCAGGTTAGTGGCTAGATTTTTAATGTATAGGAATGATGTCAATAAGAATGTACAAGTTTTTTTTTAATTTTTTTTTTATCCACACCTTATAAAAAAATCATTATTCAAAATACATTTTAACTCAAAAATGGGTCTCAAACAGGAGTTTAAAATTTATACATTGTATCATATAGTAATTTTATATGTATGAATTGTGCAACTGACATGTATCTATCTATTTTTCCGATGGCGGGAAGATGGGCAAGACTAAGGACATTACAAGACCAAAGTACAAGGAGGGATATCAAAAAAATTCATTATACTCGATACTCGTGGGGCTTTGCCCCCAAAAGGGATGAGAATTTCCGCCTAATTGGGTACACGGACAAGGGCGAGGCGGAGTCCTTCGCCTTGAGACAGAGGTTGGACATGTACGGGAAACAGGATCCTTATCCCATTTTAAGTTAATTTCAAACTACATTATTTTTATCACACAAAAAGAAACAAATTATCATCATTCCTAGGGGAACATGAGTTTTTCTTCAATTTGAAAAAGAACAATGATTTTCAACAACTAGAAATATTAATAAAATAAATAAATGGGGTAGCCCTCGCCTTAACTAGGTATGGGGACAGAACAAGGAAACTGTTTCGCGCGGATAGTCGCTAACAATTAAAAAGGGATCAGACGATTGTGTAATGAACAAACCTCTTGAGACAAAATCCTAAAAAGGGGTATTTTATTGGCGATGACTTTACAATTGGAACTTTAAACAAAATGCCTCCAACGGGCGCAAGCACACGAGTACTGAAAAGAAATGTTTTAAGTCTAAACTAAGGAATTGAAATTACATATTCTCTATTTGAGAGTGTTTGATTCGAGGTCTCTTGCTTTATGTCTTTTCTCCCTTTTATACTCTCTTGATGCTCTCTTTGTGATCAACCGTTTAGAAACTGCTCAATTACTTTATAACTGCCCACTTTCTTCATGGTGGCCAATCTTATCGTGGAACTGCTGTCTCTAAATGCTGCCACTACTCTTTGTCGTTCAACCGTTTTCAACTAAACTTCTTGAATCGTGGAACGTGATAAGATTACCCAATAACTGCTTCAA